TTTTGGGTATCTCGAGCCGTATTCGCAGCGTTCGCAACGGAACGTCTCGTTTTTCCTATCGGTCCTTCGGTCCTATTAGGTGCAGCGTAATGTTTTATAGTTTTCCTCGTTAAATGAGTTAACAAACACAAAAATAGAGATTATTGCGTTCAAACGAACAATAAAAGAAACTCTTAAGCTTCGTACGTATATTTGCTAAATAAATTAGTATGTAAAATCATGTTTGTCGTTATAATGTGAAAATGGAACGATCAACTTCGCCATTTGGTTTAAAATTCTGGATTGTGCCTAATTTCAATTTTCGCACATTATTTGAGACAAGTGCTGTAAAACACTTGGCCGCAACGGGGCATTGATGGACTTACTTATGAATTCCTCTCTTGTCGAACGCTACAGTAATGTAATATTGTTTCAATTACTTCTTCAATTTGGAGTGGGAAAATTCTTAATTATTTATTACCCCAAGTTATACAACGGTGCCGGCCAGTGAGCGCCTATTTGCGACATTTTCAAATACCAACCTTAGTTATATCATTCAAATGGGCTGTTCAAATTGGATAATTAAAAAAATATATATATTGATATTGAAGGAGTTTTAAATGCAAAATTTATTTTGATATTTCGGGCATCCAAATTCGATTTTTCCCACGACGTCGGTTGTGACCCTTCCCGTCAACTTTTTTTTAAATATTTAAAGAAAAATTATTCCTTCATACATATTTTTTTGGAATCTTGAACAGTTTTTGCAGCGTACGCCTCGAAAACATATTATGAGGAATAATTTAATTCCAATTTCTCGCTGTATCTTCGCTTGCATTAGTCACGGGGCGGTGTTTTATAGCCTAGAGCCTTCCTCGATAAATGCTCTAACAAACACAAAAAAATAATCAATTCGAACACGTAATTGTTGAGATTAGCGCGTTTGAACAAACTCTTCAGCTTCATAAATTAGTATTGATATAGATGAGATTTATTTATCAGGATAAATAGAGAGTTAATCTTAAAATACATATTATAGGTACATGATTGTATTATACTGTCGCGGTCATTTAAAAAAAAAAAATACTACAAGGTTAATGCGTTGTGTATATAGAGCCATCTAGCGTACATTATTTGAACTACCTAATGCTTCAATAATTACAAATTAAGCTAACCCGTGTATTCGGAAACACAGTGACTCGTAGAGTAATAATAATGTTTGGCAGTGACTCAATACAGGCGATATATATATATCTATTTTCCGTAACCTCAGTAGACCACTATTACTGCTATAAATTAAATAGTATAATATATTTTGATTAAAAAATGATTCCTAAAACTAATGTTAAAAATCATCAAGTTACCTAACAAATATTTATGAAACTCGCATCACATCTAGTAGGTGGCGCTTTTGTCAAATAATGTTGGTTTTAGTTTATGTATTGGGCGCTAGATGGCATTGTTTTTGTGTATTTTCTATACTCCTAAAATCTAAAATAATGATTATTATATTATGTAGATAATATAGTCAGTTGAAAAAATCTATCTAATATATTTTCTATTATTATAATCAAGGTAAGAATCAACAATAAAATTAAAAGCATGCGTGAACATAATATTGAAGGAAGGATAAAACGTTATCATTTTGATTTTTGATACAGAATTAGCTTTTACCTCGGTATCTACGTTGTAAATAAAATTTTCATGTATTTTCAATGGGTATTCTATTCTTGTTCATCACGTCAAAATACACAAATATTGTTAAGGACCTTCAAGAAGTAAAATATGTTGGTTATATTTATACTGACCATTGACGACTACAGCAAAAAGTATATTGGATAAACTTCCGAAAAGCGCATACCGCCGATCGATCTGAAATTTGGTATACTTATGTATTTTGACCTCCTAATCACGAATATCATAATGAAAATTGGCGCAAACATTTTGAATATGAAAAAAAACCTCTTTTCGTTCAGTGTGCCTAATCAAAAAATTTTCACGAAATGGAATTACTACAGCGGGAAATATTCCCAGGTCGATTAGGAGAACAAAAAACCACTCGAGAATTAGGCTACTATAGCGGGAATAGATCTCAAGTATATCGACAAAAGCGGCAAAAATTTCCATAGGCCGACTATTACAGTAAAAAACATTCTCGGACTTCGACTAATATAAAGAAAAATATACGCAGTTTGTATCTGACAGGCGAAAGTAAATGTAAAATGCAACTACTATAGCGGAAATCATTCACTGAGTTTGATTGCAATAACGAAAAGTATTCACCGAGTTCATGTACCACAGTGGAAAATCACCACAAAGTTGAAATTGTATAGCGGACATGTGCAAAGTTTAGGTTATTGGTGAATCAATGAAAATCACACTCACACACACACACACACACAAAACGGCCCTTATCAGGGCCAGGAATGCTGGACAGACAACCTCCACGTGGTGCATTGTAGATAACGCGAATAGTCTGCGCTTTTCGGCCATGCAACCTCCAACGCTTTGACGAACTTGGATCGCTATGGGTAAAAAATGGTTACACACACACAAACACATACACACACCCTTTTCGGGAAAAGCTCAAATAGTCTACATTGGTTAGAAATGCGTGATTAGGCACACTGACTGTGTTTTTCGATTTTCATATTCAAAACGGCGTTTGCGCCAATTTTCGTTATGGTATTCGTGATTAGGAGGTCAAAATACATAAGTATACCAAATTTCAGATCGATCGGCGGTATGCGCTTTTCGGAAGTACACCCAGTATATTGTGGTTACATCAAAAGTTAAGTATGAAAAGTCTGTTTCGTCCTAAATGAAATTTTGCTAATAACGCCACCTAGTGACACGATTAAACTTATTTAGGAAGCCGTGTCTTTTAACCGTACAATAAAATAGATTGTAGGTTCTATTTAATATAGATATGGTTTCCATAATATCATTAATTAGGTTGGTACACGAATCTTATGTTTTATTAAAAAAAAACAATCGGGTACCTTTTCGTATATATTAAAGTGCCTATATATTGCCAGTAGTGGACACATGGGAGTTTCCTTTATTTTGTTTTTTTTACTTTTATCTAATTCTTTTTATTTTTCTTCCCAGATTCGAGAATGCTGTAAAAATAAAGTCAGTTTAGGCTGCTTCTCCAAATAGGATAGAGGTTCTGCTGTGAAAAAAAGCTTGCAAGGATAGACTGCACGTACAAAATTCTCGTTCCAATACGCCTCTTCCGCCAACGCTGTTTTGAGCGAGAGAAGGGCGGTAAGGGATTCTTAAAAAAACATCGTTACGCGTCCTCGCGATTGCTTTTGCTATGAAAGCTCAGCCTTAAAAGTCTTTTAAAATATTTCTTTTATTAAAATATTACGGAATTAGAGGTTTGTTCTAGACAAATTGCCTACTGGTTAGTATTTAATACTACAGAATAATAAAACCACATTACTAGACGTCAGGTTTTTTCACCGGAGAACGGAGCGTAATTACGTCTAATAGTTTATATTGTGGATAGGACATCGCATCGCCAGGTCTCGATTCATTCAATAAAAGCTGCAGGGTAGGCGTTCAGTGACGTTCCGTAGCCCGGTGAAGAGATCATCAACGTTCAAATTATTATTTTTATTAAATTGGGATTACGTACTATTTTAAACGTGAACTTAATTAGACCCGCGCCCTATCAAATATTCTATTGTTTTCTTTATTGAGCACCTCACGCACCGTTGTTCGTAACGTTAGCTAAATCTTACTTCAGAAGTAGTCGTCGTAATGGTAATATCTAACAGTGAACAAGACTGAAACAACAAAAGAGAACAACTGTAACCAAATTTGTGATTTTTTTGCTGGTGATTTCGCTACGACTCTCCAACATAAAAGCTTATTAAATTATTCTTCAAACGTAGGTTTTGTTACATATTCAATACTTATTCAAAGCCCGGGAAATGTACAATAAAAAAAAACTCCGTTTTCATTCTTCTTAACGATGGCTTGACGAACTATGACATTATATACAATTATCAGATAGAAGGGAATTAAAAGAGGAATAAATGAATCTTAACTAATTTGAGACACAAATTAGTGTTGGAAATATCGCTTGGCCTCATTATTGCCCTTTCTACAAATTATTTGTAACGGAGGGTAGATATTCAACTAATTATATAAAGTGGCCTTTAATTTTTAAACCTGATATATGTAGCTAAGAATACATTTCTCATTTTAAATGGTTAGTGCAAGTCAACTACAAACAATTCCAAACACCGACAAATTTCAGTCGTGTAAAGCAATTTGTTATTATTAAAACAACTGTTGTAATGCGCTCACTTTTAAAGTATTATTCTTTGTCTATTTGGCTACTGTAATGGATATTCCACAAATCAATTACAAATACATTTCTGAGGAAGCAAACTGCGGCATCACCATAGTTATAACTGGTTTTGAAAAATACAAAGATTTGCGCAATTATTTGAGCTATGAAATTTCTAATTTTCACAGAGAACTAAGACTAGATAGACACACTAAAGGTACAGGTCCGTTCTTCTAGCACTTATATGAGTAGTTCTAGGCCGATGTTATGCGCAGTGGGCGATAAAATCATACACTCGCGTTTGCTTAGCTACGCCACGGATTTTAACGTTTTTTCTTTAATGAGCATACTTAACCTCTTCGCACACAACGTTTCACAATTTAATAATTAAATATTCACTAATTATAACATAGTTATCACATTAGATATATAAAAATAGTAACTAGACAACATACCATAATTTAATGACTTCGCAACGACTACTTAATTTTTGATATCCATTTGCCTAATTTTAGTTATCACTATAAATGCCAGAGTCAATTTCGACGACGACAGCCATTGCTATTTGCTGACGCCCCAGTAGTGACGAAATACTGCTCGAAGTAGGTAATATCGGGGATTCTATTACGGCTAGTTTATTTCATATCGAGTTCGTCGCTTCTTAGTGTTTGTCGCGCAATGGACTGTCCGATTGAGCTAACACACTGCACCCGGCCTACGAGACGTGGGCGGGCAACGCGGAGGCGGCGAGGGAGTCGAGGGCCTCCAGATCGGTGCGGGGGCGGAGGGGCGCGCGGGGCAGCCGCAGCGGCACCGGCAGCAACTCGGGCATCACGCTGTGGTGGGTCACCAGCGCGCAAAGCGAGCTGAACTCCTTCGTGAACCCCTGAAACGAGTTCGCTCAATTACAACATCCCATAAATAATTATTTTTCATTTCAGAATTAAAGGAGAAGCACCTTAATCTTGTATCCTTTGGACGTCCTAAGGATGAGGTAGTGCGCGATGCCATTGTGGGCGAAGTCCCGCGGCACCCTCAGCGAGAGGGCGAGGCACTCGGTCTGCGTGGTGCTGGCGCGCACCAGGAAAGCGCCCGGCTGCTGCGCCGCCAACACCTCCAGGGCGATCTCCCGCGGGATGCCCTGCTGGAACCAGGGTGCGCTCTTCAGCTCCGGCTCGAGCGGCCGCAAGTTGTTGTTTCCCGAATCGCGCGAGGCTCTCGACGCTCCGCACGACGACTCGCCGGACGAGGACGAAGCCGCGGCACTGCTCGCGGCCCGTCTGAAACGCGAATTATGCGCGTTACGTCTAATTCAGAGCGTACGGTGAGCCGTGCTGCGAGCGTACTGACCCGTCAGGGAGACCAGCGCAGTCTCGGAAGCCCCTCTCGCGCAGCGGCGGGGGGGGCCGTCGCTCTCTCGCCGCTTCCGTCGCTTCGTTGATGTACCCGCCACCGCCGAGACACGCCGATGCGTTCGTCGGCCTGTTAAATGTGGTGTTAATATGTCTTTAAAAATAATAAAAAAACTCATAAATATTACATTATTTATGTACTTTAATAATCCCGTAATTTGTGCGGGGCGCACATTTCAATAATGCTTTATATCAGTTTATGCGTATTCCCTTAAGAAACACCACCCCAACTTGATGTATTGATAGAAAAATAATGTTTTTACTAGTAAAACACGTAACTAGTAGTACACGGACTCGATATATAGTTGTATAGTACAACTACTATAATCGAGTCCGTGAAACAAAATATACCGAATAGACTTTTTTGTCAATATATTTTCAGTTTTTTTACTTTCATTTATTTAATAGCTGCATAATATTATCGACTCGCCAGTACATACTCGTATTAATTATGACATACAACTTTATTTTTTTGAAGAAGAGCGGATGTGAAATGGGACATAGCTCACGACTTGAGCATTACCACCTACTTCTTACACTCTCGTAAAGTGCCGGTTAACAATGGCCCAGAGGGGAAAGAAGCCAATTTACTACTAAGGTAGAAACTAAATAAAATAAAATAACCTCCACATATAGAGTTAAACAGAAAGCAGCAGTTTCGCACAATCGACGTGGCGTCGAGAGCGCATCGCGGGAAATCTACCCCGTTTTCTATTATTGTAAAGCGTTAATTATGTTCACTTATCGGGTTATGGGCTGCACGTAATAGTATAATTCACCCCCTACAACCCTTTGAAAGGAAGTTCGTGTTGTTCTTCTCTGCTTTCGTCCGAAACATGCGCGAAATTTACAGAGCGAAACCATCACCTATTACTTCGTACATATTAAAAGGCAACGTGGAGTGTATTCCGCCTTATGAAGTTCTTATTAGATTCGATGTGCAAAGACATCTAAACGCACACGCACGGCCCGTTGCACTCACGTGGTGGGCGTGTCTGTGACTAGAGGCGTGGCGTCGTCGTCCGAGGGCTGCAGGAGAGTCCCGCTGAGCCCGAGCGCGAGCCGCTTCATGAGCGGCGGCCTCTCGAGTCTCTCTCCGAGCCGGCGGTAGCAGCTCAGCTCGCCCGGCGAGTTCCACTCCTCGGACGAGCTGGGGCTCGCCTCGCTGCCCTCGCTGCCGGACCCGTCCGACTTGCATCTTTGCGGAGATCTGGAACAACCGCGTTGAAATTAAAATGATTCTCGCTTCGGCAAATTCAATAACGAAAGTTGCAGTTTTTTAGGTACTAACCTGTCGGCAACTTGCCGATGAGGATAGTGGGCGAGGCCGGTGAGCGAGTCGGGTGCGCGAGCGCACGGGCTGCCGCTTATCTCCTTACTCTGGAAGCACAGCGATGATCTTTCAACCGGTTTCAAAGAGTGTTACTAATAAGATTATACATAAGGGCTTAAAATCAGAACGGTTCTAATTTCTGCCAGAAAGCTTTTATTGATATAGGAATACCTAATAAACAACGAATAAAGATAAACTTACTTTCTTTACTTGTATACCTACCAGACCTAGACTTTGTTAGAGAATGACCGCATAAAGATTTGTTTTGCCTAAGATTTTATTTTTAGATAGTGTATACAATATGAGTGCACAAAAATTAAATAAAAGTTAAAATCTTTTTTATATACTTCTGGTTGAGTTGAGCAAAACTTGGAGGGTTTAAAAAAGATAATGAAAATTACAATAACACGTCATAGCCATTCCGATGATGTTGCTTTATTATTATTGTCTACCGTACGCTAAGTATTAAGTGTTCTGTGTCCTGTAAATGTATATTTCGTAACACAACATTTTATTTCTTAATTTTATGTTAACTTGCATCTTAACATCTGCTCGACCGATAGCCTAGAAAAAAGACAACGTCGTTTTGCGATTAAGCTTTTGTTACGTAGGTACTTAGTTTTTTTTTAACATTTTCCTGAGCAGGAATTTAAAATGTAAACAGGGAAGGAGCGGTTCATGGCCAGTAATATTAGAAGCCTTTCAACGTATATAGAATTTCAAATAGGAGAAATTATTTTGTTTTAGTTTTGGGTTTAGACGATGCTTACCAGTTGACGGGTACATTCAAAACACTGAAATACAAAATCAAAAATACGTAAATATTTATAAGAAAAAATCATTATAAGTATAGTGAGTAGCAAGTTATCGGTCGATTCTATAATACATAGAATCTATAATAATAGAAGAAATACATATATGTAAATGCTAGGCAGAGCTTCTCTGAAAGTACTATTTTGAGACTATTTAAATTTATACATGAACTATTAATGTTACCTACTGAATTTAAGTTACTCGCGCGCACAAGCGAAATGAAAAGAAAAACATTTAACACGAATACGAGAACAAACAGGACGACGCAACCGTAGGCGGGCATCGTTTTCCAAAGGACCTCGAGGAGTCCTCGCAACCAGAAATGAGGCGAAGGAACTCGATAGAATAAGTAAGAATGTGATTGAAACCGTATCGCAGATATTGTCGGGACGTCGGGGGGAGACGGGCAATAACATTTTCGTATCGCATTTACTCGCGCTGCGAGTTATTCTGCACAATATTGGAAAAATAGATATACCCGTTTTTCTTTTCGCCTAAACCGTGCGTTAAGCTCGAGTAAGGATCACTGTCCAGTATTTTGATTCACTTAAATACCGATTCAGAAACATTAAACAATAAAGCTCATCGCTGCCATTATAGGTATATATAGTAGAAGTGCGCGAAAAAAACAAAATTTACATATTCTATCAGTCCTCATATCGAGGGTGGAGAGCGAACCTAAAAAATTGGCTCAATCTTTCCTACATCGAAGAAGCAATGTGCTAAGTTTGACGATCTCTAGTTTCGCTAAGAATACGAGGGACGGATCGAGTGCAGTGCGTAAATCGAGATTCTTTTGTTTTTGGCGCCTAGTGCCTCTTGCCACGGCGTTCTCACCCCTGCCTTTGGCCCGACCTTCCTCTTCTAGGGCTGTCGGCGCTCACGCCTTCAAAAACAATCCTTCAACGCCATTAGACAGAAACATTTTAACGGTACGACTGAAGCGAGGATTCAGTATCAACGAAGTTTTTCTTTTACAGTTCCCATAAATTAGGTACTTGAGCCTTCGGTCGTCGTGGCGGACGGACTCAGAACTCATACGAATGCTTCACCCGCAGTATTAACAAAAAAATTGACGCGCGAACATATCGCACCCTACGTCTCGCTGTGGCAGGAGGAAGGAGCGTGCGTATCGACTATTATATCGTTTATACTTTTGGTCTACGTAGCAGCCCTATCCGAGCACGACGCAAATAGAATTGAAATATGAAACAGTTTCGGGTAATTGTTTAGGGCGCAGACCCTTCTATATTTATTAATTCGAGTCTAGCACGAACAAAATCACACGTCAGTAGTTTATAATTTCGTATATAAAGCGCAGAGTTCACTCGATCGTAGGTGAACTACGCCATCCATGCGACATCTGAACGAGATGCTCCGTCGGACTGTTCTGGCTCTGGATAATCGTTCTAAAGATAAGCGGATAAGCGTCGAGAGAGAGAGTAACTTAAGGATTTAATTTCATGTCGATACATTTTTGTACCGTATTGTTAATAGATTGTCTTGCATCAAAACAAAACGTGGAGCTGTCAGTTACGATTATTTCCATTATAACGATTCGAGACCATATCGCGTTTCCTTCCCGCTCCCTGCGCCGAAGGTCGCTCGAAATGAATCGGAAAAGAGTTTTCAAGTGTCGAGACGATAATTCAACCGATGAGGACTTTCTAAAGAGAAATTTGTTATAGCTAAATCTGTCTCGCTCCCTCTCGTAGGGAATTCGGTATCTCTCTCTCGGTCTCCGTTAACCGGCGATCCGACTGGTTTCTCGCGGATGGTGTGCGTGGCCGCCCTCCGACGACTCGGAGGGCATCACGGAGTGCACAATCGGGCCTGTCGGATGGCGAAATTTAGGCCACGCGTTAGCTACGTCGAGAAGGGCCCGCTCGCGAGCAGGCGAGCGAGAAGAGACTCACCCAAAGTGGAGCGGAGGGCTGCAGCTGCGACGCGAACGCCATGCGGAACGCATCGCCCACCAACGCGTTCAACTCCTCCGCCTGAAACGAAAGCCAGCGCTCCTTTAGCGTTTTCCACTCTCGAGAAGTATAAGTTCAAGACTCCTATTCAATTCGCATTATTCGACACCTTTAACTTAGATACAAAAAAACGTTTGTATAAACCGCTGACGCAGCGCGTCGTAATCGTTTCGAACCCCGAGACATAAAACGGCGACGTGACGGGTCTTCAGACGTTTTCGTTTCCACCTCCGAATACATTCTCCTATTTTGCGAAGTCGAGGTAGAGCGGCGGCCGGTCGCTTCGATGAGCATCTTCGAGTAATTCACGCGGGATATGCTGATGGCCAGATTGAGAATTCTAATTTCAGTGATACCAAGAAGTAATTAATGAAGACGGTAGACTTGCTGTATTGATAGAGCCTATGTGGGAGTTGAAAACGCGTACGTTCGTGGACAGTATTCACTTTATATTAAAGACTAGTTGAGTCACGCGACTTCGTACGCGTAGAATAATTATTTTGGACACAAATTTTTGTTTTTGAAAACCCCCTCTTCAACTCTTATAAATTTAAGGTGTTACCCACGACGTCGTCCGCGTCCCGCGATTAGAAGATAGACATATAGTGTCGCGGACTTTTTGTAGATCATTTAAAGAGGAATCATTTTTTCATACATATTTTTGGGTATCTTGAACCGTTATCGCAGCGTACGCAATAGATATAACATTCCTCAATAAATGCTCTAACTAACACAAAAAAACATTTGAATTCGAACCCTGTAGTTCGTGAGATTAGCGTGTTCAAACAAACCAACTCTTCAGCTTTATATATTGGTATAAATAGATTAATCCGCGGATAATAAAAAATATGTTATTTTGTTTTACTGCGTCAACCGGGCTACGAAAATTATTTTTATATTTAGACATAGTTCGACAATAGACATATTGTGCAAGCATCCACTGTAAATAGCACAAATTGCACACTCGCGGCGAGCCTTACGATTTAACCTTAGATTCGCGAGCAGGAGATCGACATAGAATGCTGAGGAGCACATTGAGACGATTGAAAATTTACCTTGAATTGGCCACAATTTTTCAAGTTTCAACCAAACACACACACACACACAACCAGTAAATGTTGCGTAACTTTTCTTTATCTGTTGAAGACTAGGGACATAACGTTTAAAATGTTACAATTGTTTATCTTAACACATAACACTAAAAAACAAAAAGGAGCATTTCGGTGAGAATGGGTGGTTTTAATTAGGCGCAATAGAAATAGCACTAGATAACAAGTGTATCGGTTCGAAATTAGAACATTTTACTCGCATCTCTCGGCTCACCGGACATCTTCAAATATCGTTCTAGTTAAATTTGGTCGAAATACTTAACAGCATATAAGAATAGAAAATAAGAAGACCATTCCCTACTTTAAAAGTCGTGTACAACCTGTTAGCAGACACTAATAGGCTAAGGGCTAAGCGGTTACAAACGTACTTACAAAACACAATAAAAAACAAAATCGTAAGTAAAGTAGAATAATAGACGTGCATAATAAAATGATACCCGCGTTGTTATAGTATATAGCACGGGGAACGAGTATGCCGTACGGATTACTCTTTGCCCGCTTATCTGAACAAAATAGAAACAATATCATACTTTAAACTTTCTGTTTGTAAGGAAATAATCAAAGAGTATTTCTTGCGTTAGTCAGAGGTCGCGACGCGTTAGTCAATGACACTATTATTTTAGCGAGAGAGGGTTTCATGGGTTATAGACTTGTAGCAATTATTTTATCATAATGATAAATTAAATAAAAAAGTTAAAAAACACGAGAGACTCGCACACCACCAGAATACCTATTTCTTACAAACAGAAAAACAACAATCCTACCACTCTTACCACTCTTTCTACGTAAAACTATCTAGTTTTGAAAACTACATTAAACAGAAAAACAAGATGTGGGTAAGGCCTGAATAATAAATGCAATGCGGGAAGGACGCATCGATGGCTGTTTTTGATCTTCACATCGCCGGAATTGGGTAGCTCTGAGCTATAAATTAGTAGAGCGTTCGCGGAGACAAGCGATAAAACGAATGTTCCCAGATGGAGAGGAAATCGACGTGACTACAAATAAACCATTAATCTATTTCGGAAGGGCGCGTAAAACTCGACTTACAAATTGTTCATTAAATTTAGGTGTACGAACGGAGTCGAACAATGGGGCGAGGCGAGTGCAGCTGCGCCGTGGCTTCGGAGACAATGCACGCATTACTGGAAATGAGCTGCGAGCTGTCTGACGACGGAGAGCCTGACTGATGCACAATATACCTAACATAGGCATCTTGCGATTCGAAAACTGTTTGATACTGTTTGTTGTGTGTGTATCTCGTTCTGGTCTCCGAAACGATTGCACGGATCATGGAAAAACATGCTTTGTTTTATTCTATCTGGTACAATGAATTGAATCTTATCAAATCGAGGAACTACCACGTAATAACCGTTGTAAGTAAAGACTAAAAACATACAGACAATCAACACATATTTTTAGAATTGGACGCCATTGAATGTGAATGTTGAATGAAAGAGCGATTAAAAGTTTTCGTGAGAGTTGGTAGTAAGTAGTAAACAAAGTATAGGATGTCAATGGCTAATAAGCAAAATCCTTCCGAAGCCTAAAGATCCCGAGAAGATCGCTAGGAACGGGCGAGAAAAACGTGTTTGATTTTAAGCATTAGTCAATACTTAATACGAGAAGAATAAGCATGTAATTCAAAAATATAGAAATAAATCTTATGCCGATGAACATCGTTAAGAAGGGACGGGTTTTTTCAATTTGGGGACGATCGGAAGCAGTGCAACAAGATGGCGGTAAATAAATTAAAAAATTTCGGCCATATGCTTACTCGTGTACCTATTAATGATATCGACTTACGACTACCGCAATTTACAAACGTTAACAGGCCTACCTACCCTCATGTGTAGTTTTTTTATATCCCTTGAAGTCTTTTTAAAAATCGCAAAAGTTATATAGGTACGGTTATTATTACGGATATAATTTTGTACTCTGCATCACAGTAGAGCGTTAGTATCGGACACGATCGTAACTATGTAATTTAACACGTGAGAACAACACGACACCTAACATTGTTACAACGCAATATGTGAATAGGTCGTTCAAAACAAAGGCAAGCATTCCGAGAAAGTTCTCGCGCAGCGAACGAGCTACGTACCGGAATGGTCACACGAAGTTGTATTCCATGCGCGGCAGACACGATATGGCACCGTCCACAGAAACTCTATCGCGACGCAATACGTCCACGCGCGGCTGCGTCGCGACCGCCACTGGCTTGTAGCGACTCGTTTTAAAGTCTCGTCAAAGGGGAGAACTCTTGCGCACCTGTATTCTGGGAAGCTTTTTTTCTATCGGTCGAGGCGACGAACTTTTCTGCGCGTCGACTGGTCGACGACCTCTTTTAAATTAATCGACTTCAAAACGCATTAACATTGAATCCCGCGATCGAAAGGACGGCGACGCATAATTGTCATTGTTCATCAGGCGGAGATACGAGAATGCCGAGTGTCGGCTGAACGCCCTCCACATTTATGCTTTACATTAAGTTTCGCCAACGAGAATACGACGCTACCGCAAAACGCTGCTAAATTACAACTCCAAGAGAGAGCTTTAATTAGACAAAGAGCGGTGGCGTAACTAGCTGTGTCGGAATTCATTAGGAATGTGCCTCCGACAAGGTCGCGGGCCGAGAAGGCACGTGGTGCGCCGGCGCCGCCCGCGATTGACTCGCGTTCCTGCGACCCAACTTATATTAACTACACCTTAATATTCTTTCCTACGTTTAATACGTAGTGCGTAAACGTTCTGTGACGTTTTCTCAGACAGCACAGTTTCGGAATGACGCGCGTTCGATTTGTCCATTGTAAATCAGCCCTTCAAACGTAATACCGAAATTCCTTCGAGCATCGAGACGCGAAGTCTCTTTTCATTACGGAGATCAGGCTTCAGAAGGCACATCGGAACGAATGCGTCTGACGACTAATCTCAAGAAGGGAAACAAAGGTAGCCGAAAGTCGATCAGTGGCCGCCGGTGGCGATGGGCCCGGGGTGCTAGGTGAGGATGCGACGGGAGGTAAATGTATTTTATACGCAAAATGGTCTAATTGTTTTTATTTGAAATCGAGGTTTACCTTTTTTATTACGAGCACTTAATTGTGCCTCGTATTGTAAAGCGCAGGTTATATAGAACGTATACCCCAGGTATATACCGGCGTGCGACTATCGCGGAGGGCAGAGATCACTCACCTGGTGTGGCGAGTCAGTCTCGAAGGCGTGGCAGTAATGGGCCTCGTCGATTCGATGCGCCCTCGGCTCGCGCGCGACGAACGCGAACAGCGCCCGCGCAGCCTCACAGCGCGCGTACGAGATGCGCCGCAGTGCGTGCCACATGCGGACGCTCTGCGAACACACGAGATACACGTTACGTGCGGATCGAGCGCGCGCAGCGATGGCGCGGAGCCACGGGAGAACAGACCTTGTCGTCCGGGTCGCACACCTTCACCCCGGAGAGAGCGACCACGACCAGGACAGGCACCGCGCACCCGCTCTCCTGCCGATAAATAATCCTTTAATTAAAAGAGCTTACAGCAAAAACCGTTAACGACACGGCTAACTCATATGAGAGACTTCCATTATTTGTTCATTGAAACCTGCTCCGTAGCTTTATCGTATTACGCAAGGACTTATAACGCTTTGAATGCGTTCTCATCGGGCGGCCGAAACTGTTCGTATGTCAAAGTCTCGCTGACCCGGCGACGGTCTCAGGTCGTGCACGGCCCGAGACCTAAATACAAGAATATTTTCGAGCCACAAACAAAGATTTACGAAACAACGAATTCGTGCTAACAAAGGGACTCTTCATATTGCGGTTACGAGTTACGCTTCGCGAGACGAGTGTCGACTGTCGACGTGTCCACTGCGCTTTTATTATTTAGTTATTTAACGAAACGCCGCGGCGCCTCATTAGGTAAATTGTACTCTTCAAAATGTGTTCCGAACTGCGCGCAGATCGAATACGTTATATTTAACGCGGAGAAAGAGGACTAAGGTTAAATTTAGTCATCGAACGAGCGATCTATCAGCAACAACGGTTCGTAAGTCACATCGGTGACCTTCGTGGGCTTTATTTCTCCATTGAAATAATCTAAAATGTATACTTTCACTGAAAATTGAATCTTATTCGTGTGAAGGCAAGGGGCAGGCGCGCTAGGGACGCATAATGAACTATAAGATGTAATGTTTAAAAGCCTAGGTCACATCCTCGACGAGCGGCCTGTAATAGTTAAAGCGAAGTGGCTCTCGAACGTTCGCATCTGAGCCAGAACACTGCTCAGAGCGCTTTCTACCCTAAGCCCCACTTTGCCTCGTTTCGATCTTTCGGAGAGAAGCGACGGCGGTTTAATGGATTAAAAATTAATTTTTATAATTGATTCTGTAGATAACCATAAATAATATAATTGCAATAGATTAAAGTGCGTCTGTGGATGTGTAAGCCTTCACCACATTGTGACTTTTCTTCGGTGTTTTGTCAATGTTCTTGTAATTTTTTTTTAAATTCGTACGGTCAAACGCTCATAGCCGCGTCGGCCACTGAAAATCGGCGCAGTTGCATACCGCAACGTGCTTCAACACCAGCCGAGTTGCTGTGCGTTTTCAAGTCTGCTTGTATCTGCAATTGCTGCATTTTTGTTACTTTTGTACTGGGAATAAAAGTTTTTTTTTTTGTTTTTATTCACTGATAACCCGCAACTCGCCCACGCATACGCGCGTTTCAATATGTCGTAATCGAAAAGTCGGCGCTCGTTCAGTCCGAGGAAGAAAATACAGGGAGCCTTAGACCTTAGTGATGATCGCAGGCTTCGTTGATTCCGCCGAATCGCGTGGGTCGCACCACCCTCTTAGGGCTCTGACCCGCTACCGCTCTTACGCCGTTTCATACTATTCTGCTTTCACTGTGTCGCGAGTTGCCATTCGTTTTACTTTTGGTGGCTGAAGTAAGCCCATCCAAGCCCAAATACGCACATCACAAAAGGAACGTATACGGCGATACGCGGACGAGGCGTAAAGCGAATATTAAAACGGTAAACAGCACTCGCATCGAGCCCACTCGATTGCGATCGTACACACTCGAGGCGCGCTCGACGATGGTTCATATTTTATTATGCATTGTGTGCGTACGCAAAGGAAAGCTTAAATCCGTCTATCGCGAGTGTCCGGTGACCTCAGCTCGTAACACGAGAGGCCCGCCTCGAATGTCTAATCGATACTAATATTTTCTGGGGATCTATTCATATCTGGATCGCTTTACACTGAAAACCTACAATTTCCCACAATTATCGTGCCCGTTGCTTTTACGTACGCATAGTTCGCGAGCTGGACGGAATTTCAATATTCCAACCGCCATCCTCCATATTTAACATCCAAATTATTACACTGTGAGTATTAAATGTTAAAAATTATAAGAAAAAATTTAGAGATATGGCAAGCGTTGTCTGTAGTTTAGGCGAGTAGTACACATTTAAATAAAATACTCTTAGAGAGCCGACGTTTCGCTTTGCAGCAGTCGTAGTCACAGGAGGACGATGAAGATGGAGGGTGTGCCCAAGGTCAAAGTCAAATTCGCTACGCTAGCACCGACTGTTTCTTAGTAGTTGGAATTTAGAGAAACTAGGCAGGTGCTCACAGAACTGTCTCGCCAGTGTCCTCTCGTTTCTCGGTGTGCCATCTTTGGGTTGAAGGGTTCTTAGTAAAGGATAGAAAAGGAGGAACATTTGTAAAAATAGACTTTCTTTACAAGAATTTTCGGTTGGTCAAAGCGATTGTAGTAATTGGGCCCTTCCTATATATTTCGCCGTTAAAAGTGATAGATTAAAATTAGACAAGTCGTTTCCGTTGGAAAACACACACGAACCGTAGTCTCCATTCCCAGTCTACCTGTGTAGTTGTTTTCGTCAATAGATTGGGGTCACACTGGCGCACCATACGTGGACATGGCTTTCTTAAAAAAATGGACTTCAGTGATCTAGGTTTCAAATAAGTCGAAACGCATAGCTATCATATGTATATCAATACCATCCATACTAATATTATAGAGCTAAAGAGTTTGTTTGTTTGAACGCGCTTATCGCAGGAACAACCGGTTTTCTCTTTCCGTAGGTTACAGTATTTGTCGAAGGCTTTTTGACTATAAATTATCACGCTGCGACTTATAGAAGCGAAGAAACAGTAGGAAATGTGAAAATAACGCAAAAAATATTAAGTATGTATAGAAGGAATAATCTTCTTTAAATGATATTAAAAAATGTCTTTGACAGTTTATAATAATAATTTATTTGTGAGACCATTGATCCTTTCCTTCTAATCTAATCTAATGATCGTTAGTTGGGCTAATAACAATTTGACATGAGAACGTAAAAGAAACGTGTAAAGTCAGCTCGTTTTTATATATAAATAAGGACCTAAGTACCCAAATTAAGAGAGCAGAACACAAAAGTTTGTCATGTACCTAAAAATATGTACAATTAAAAAAAAAGCACCCCTAACGCGGTAAAATAATATTGAGAGAAGTAAGTTCCTATGGAAGTTGATTATTTTTATAGTCAAAATGAATTTTCCCTGCGTTAATAATGCTTAATCGCTGACACGTCAACCTAACTAACAAAAATAGGCAAAACTTTGTTTTCAAAAGAAAACTATGAATAAAGTTAATCGAAAAATTTTAAGAAGTTACCATCTTTTCTTCAAATCTTACTTTTATTGCATTTTGATAAAACTCTTCCTAAGTTCGTTTTTTTTTATTATTAAAATGTATCCTTAAATGTTAACGTTTGTCAATGCACGTTTACAGCACTCACCCGAAAAGAGAGCACGCCTCGGGAATCGCTAATATCACAAAGTTCAAGAGGAGGAGCTTCGCGCGAACGAGTGCGGACGGCGCGAGACGCGGCCTCACTGTCACTACTCACTGTGGCTTCGCAGTGCCTTCGACGGCGAAGCGATCGTCAGCGTCAGATTCCTCGTGTTACTTACTGTCCTTCGCAGCTTATTAAACGTACGAGCATAGCGATCACTACGTTAAGCCGTGTATAAAGCCCCACTAAAACTGGCTAAGGTAAAAGTTTGAAGACGGTTTCATCAAATTGTTCATACGCAGCGAAGAGTCATAAACTCTGCCTCCGACCTCTGCCCGCCGGCTTAATAATATTCATGAACGGGATCGTGCCTATATTTTAATACTGAAGCCACCTTTTGGCGCAATGGGGAAAAGTTACTCCAGTAATGAAAGTCTTTCAGCGGCAGTGTAATTCAAAAAAAAATGTCGAATGTTTTACCTCGTTTTTTAAGTTCATTAATATTAAAGCACAAAGTTTTCACAAGGGCAGCGTAAAACAAAGCCGTCTAGAAAAAACTGGAGGCTTCAGACTTTCCTTATCTGTCGGCTACTCGTAAACCTCTATTGGGATATTGTAACTTTTGGGGTTCCGCGGCTGCGACGGCATTTGAAAGTCCTAAGTGCGGACCGATCACGAATTGTACCGACCATTGAGCGCTAAGGAGGCAGACAAAAATCGATGAGTTCAAGACCTGTTTTATGCTCGTCTAAATTAAATGTTGTCAGCATTATCGATGTCAGCATGTCAGCATTTCTAACGTTGAGTAAAGCTGTGTACGTAGGGAACTCCACTGCGAGAGGTACGTAGAGCGCGGAGCACTTGTCGAGGGTCCGAGATTGGGAAGCCCGATACGCTATCGAGGGTAATTGAATAAGCCCCGGTTTGTCTTTATACGGCCAATTTCATTGATAGCATCCGAGAAATCACTTGAGAAGTAAAATGTGTAGACTGAAACAATTATTTTAGTCTAGCAAAGAGTCAATGAAAGGGGCGTTACGGGACATTCAATTAAATATATGGTGTAGCTTATTGTAACGCGAACGGGCAAAATGGCCAGTCATTACGAAAAGGGCCACCTTCCGTCGACCCACAGTGATCCCCTCTTCTGCTTAGGACGGTTATCCTTCAATCGCTCTCATAATAACGTGTACTCGTCAAAGTTAATTGTAATTAATTCTGGTGCAGCCGATCCACGTACGCAAAGACTTGCGTTAAATGTTACCGAATGTAAAAACAACAGCACCGTGGCATAAAATCTTTTCCGTGCATCCGTATTGTACTCGTTATGTCTTAGTTTAGAAGTGAACATAATTACACTGGCAACCGAGGCCGTAAGAGCCGAGGTAGTCTCGAAGGAGTCGTTGCGGTCCCGCGCAGAACACTACTCTAGTTCGTTGCGGCCGCGGCGCCCGTAGAAAGGCCCCTTTAGTCGTGACTCCGTAATTAATCGTAGTACGGCCACCGTCCTTTATGAATAGAAAGAATCGCGACGGTGACGCAAAAAATATGAATTTCCCCCAGACAAGAATAATACGCGTCGTACGGTGGAGCGGGACGCACAAAGGGTTTTGATTTGTCCGTGGTCGGTTATGCTTTATTTGCAAGCGGCGAGTCGACGAGACAACGGAATAATCTGGATACCGCCATGGGCCAAGCGCGGGGTGCAGTAGTTGTTGGGGCGACTTTGCTGGACTAATAACGACAATGACGTTCGCCGTTTAGCTTCTTTCCGTCTTTTACTACGGAACCGAGTTCGATACGTGGCGTGAGGCACACCAAACTGATATATACCGCGTAATATTTATTTTGTGAGTATTTTTTCTTGACACTGTTGTTGAAGCGCAGATGGGTTTACAGGGAAATATTATCGTTCGTTCACAGAGAGGACGAGGGTGGCCCCCTCGTCGGCGTTCACTTTTGCTCTCGTGCGATGAGTACGCTCCCCGCAGCCCTAGCGCCGTTCTTTGGCGCGAGTAATTAAGGCAGAAACGGCTTCGGCGCAAACCTGGGGGTTTTTGACTCAATGTAAAACAGGCTAAATAGGGCATTCCCTAGCTCTCCCGAGGCGGCATTAATTCGTTCCTCGCTCGCGCTCTACACGACAAAGGTTTTATGTTTCGGAACGCACCCCGCTTCGAGAAGCTCTAAAGAGCTCGCTAAGAAAGGCACAGTGCACCAAACGCGAAACAAACTTTAAACAGCTTACGAATCGCAAGTATCGGGAGCAGTTTGGATCTAGAGTTCTTTTATCGCATTCCGTGCGATGACCTCGAACTTTACTTTATTATTTGTATTTTGTAACAATGCGACAACTCATAAATATACGACGAACCATAAAATACTGCGCAAACTATCGACGAACTCGAATCGGAAATACGTATTCAATAACTCGAAAATATCCTCGAGCGCCTATCTCTATCCTGGGGCAGAACAGAAATAGGAGGCGCGCGTTTGACTGCAGAGGCTTGCGATAAGGTGTCTTTTGTAATGCCTCAAAAATGGAACTAGATGTCGGTTTCAATGGTTCTCGGAAATGGGCCAGGTCATTGCGGTTTTGGGGGCGAACGACAGTGGACCCGAATCGAAACTGCCATGGTATGGACCCGCGAGCGTTTCAATCTAACACAATTTATTAATTTACGATTCAACCAATATCTATTAAAATCAAATAGATGTACCGTGGTGATGCAGTGATGGTTTATCAGGCTGCATATGAAGATCACATTTAATTAAGAAGATTATTTATTTCAGATTTATTGCTTATAATTACCACATAGACTACAAAAGATAAAATCTTACGTACTAACTTATAAATAAAAGGCGGCCTTATCGCTAAGCTGCGATCTCTTCCAGGCAACCTGAAGTACAAGAGAACAAAAGAATATAAAAAGGCTTAATAAGTGGGTAGGGGTCAGAAAATAATAAACAAAAAGCAAAGGTACTTCGTAAAAGTAGCGAGTAAGAGAAGCAAAATTAAGAGTTGGAATAATAATATTTACTTTATTTACTTAAAAGTTTAACGGAGAGATTGAGCTTTTCTGATATTAGTAGGGACAGCGTTCCAATGTCGGATAGTTTTAACGGTGACAGAATCATTAAAGAAGGACGTTTTATGTTTAGGAAACAAACAGGAGAAGATTATCAATAGATCGGAGATTTAACTCGTGAGAACTCAAAAGGAGGAATTTCTCTTTTAGGTAAGAAGGAGTTTTGAGTTCGAAAAGGACACGATAGATGAGATGAAGCAGGTAGGAATTCCGGCGAGATCGGAAAGGGAGCCGCCAGTTAAGCTTTCGGCAAAATTCAGAAACGTAATCATATTTGCGAAGACCAAAAATGAAATGGATACACGTATTCTGAAGCCGCTCCAGCTTTGTCAAGCTGGAATTCAGTTAAATCAGGGAAGGCGGCATCAGCATAGTCTAGGATGGGCAGTAAGAGAGACTGGGCAAGTAGAATTTTTGTAGGGATGGGAACGAAATTTTGTAACCGTTTCAGGGAGTGTGAAGCGCCATACATTTTTTTGCTTAACTTAGACAACTAAAAGGAGAAAATATTTTTCTCGAGAACAATCTAACAATAACTATTTTGATTTTTTTCTTTTCATAGCGTTGTACTTATCTTCTTTTTCTTAATCACATTTCTACTTCGGACCATATCCTTATAGATATCCTACCTTCATGAGATGCAGCCTCCTGGTGAGCGAGTCGACACGAGACGCCTCCTCCTCCTCGCCCGCCGCCGGAAACGAGCCCAGGTACTGCGAACAAACGTGGTACCGTGGTCATCACCGTTCACCACTTAATCAGAATGCTCTGCGCTGGCAGGGACAAAAAGGTTTATACGAAAGAGCATTCTTCCTAACTTTGTCACAGCTTTGAAAACGAGAAAGATTTCAACAAAATTGAAACCCCTCTAGTTCAGTTTAGTTGAGATTTAATTTAGATGAGACGCGTCCCTGCCTCGAACACGCACCTTCCAGTTCGCCAGTCCTGAGTGCGTGCTGCGTAAGTCACTCGTATTTTCCATGTTCGAGTGGTTAATCTTTGAATGTCTTTAGGAAACACGGCCGAACTGAAATTGTCAAAGGCAATTCGCTGATAGGGCAAACGAGGAGTACTTTAAGTTAAAACATGAAATATTGAAATAACTTTATGGGGGAATATATATTCAGAAAGGCATCAAATTATTACGATTCTTTAGCCAAACGATTTTTAAAAGCCATTTTAGAATCAAAACTATGAGATCAAGTTTTAGGGACAGCTAAAGTAAAGGACACTGGACAGTCGAGCGAGTGCGGCCGAGGTATGCGCTTCGCAAATGATCCGCATAAGCCGACCGCAGACCGCTCGCGGCTCAGCTTTCATACCTCGGCTAGCCTCACCTAACCGACCTAACCGACTGATCAAAAAATACCTGCAAACATTACCGTGTAACTAATTGCAACGCTTTACGGCTTTTCTGCTAAACACTGTAAACTACCTCCGAGGCTTCTGGTTAAGGACATATTAAAATTGTCGAATAATCGCATTTAAAAGAATCGCCACGAGCGTCACCTAGAGAAAAATTCATATAAATAAGGGATTGGCAAGGTGTGTACATTTTTGTAGACGCCATCTACCGGGTGGCGCAGGAACTACGGACGGCAGTTAAGACAAAACGCTAGCAAGACTTGAGTAACTTTCAGTTGTACTCTTTAGGTGGCGCTAACGGAATCGTTACATATTACTACCACCATACCATTTAAAAAATTCTACGACAAAGTTATGATTTTACTGTTAGTTTTGAATATAGAGAAAACATGCCTATATCTTGCTCCAATATACTGCTATAATATGTGGTGTGGTGAGCGACATGAAGTAAATAACGACAAATATACGGGAATATCGACAATATAACTCAGAATAGAACAATCACGATTTTGATAGGTACTGAACGCAAGGCATTTTTGACCCTAGCGCGTTTGAGAAAATAAAGTTATTATTATGCTATCTCGAGACTGGCAGCCGAATAAGTTATAATAATTACCACTGGAAAATGTCGCATTGGCATACTATGCAATCATGCATGCAAAGGAACGAATTAAGCCATTAATAATGAATAACAAAGGCAGTGCCCAATTGAACTCAGTTGGAACCCGTGACAGACGTTCGGCACTCGACCGCCTCTTCAGATAACTTTTAATCAATGAACTTTTCACACTTTCGACAACACTGCGAGGAAATCTGGGTCTTAACGCCCGGAAAAGCAGACTATTTCAGAGTGTCAGAGAGTATCAAAGCGACTTCTCGAAAGCAGAACTCGGTTGTGAGCTCTTTTGGAGATCTTCTCTTTTGGCCCGGGAGCCATCAGACTAACGTGTGCACGTTACTCTGAGGAAACTTTAAATTCAAAAATGTATGTGATAAGAGCCGACCCGAGTTTCCATTCGCCTAAAAGTTAACTCAGCCAGAAAAGAGAAAGACAGACCAGAGAGTCACAGTAAAGAGCGCAGTCATAGTGAGAGATATCGTGGAAATATAGTTTAAATTAGTTTTTTGAAAGTTATAGTGTCGGTCGACGAGTTCAGTGGGTGCTCTCGTTAGACGGCCGCGTGGCTGCGGCGCAACTTTTCCTCAAGAAATTGCTTTTAGTTCTGAACTACGGCTATGACTACGACTATGGCTACGACTTGCGGAAAACCTTCGAAGGCCGCATGCCTCGACGTGCTTCTCTAATTTTTTCCTACCGACGGACGGCTCTCTTCGACCTCATTGGAACCTTCGAAGCGTTTTTTTCCGTTTGAGTCATTCGGTTTCAATTCAATTCGACCCGAGTAAACTGAAACTGACTGAACTTATATCTCCTAGTATTCGGGCGAAGACCGAGTCGCGTCGCATGCACGGCGCCATTATTCTCCGCTGAGCAATTTAAAGCTATAAAAATATATAAAAAATATTAAACCGTTCTCTGAAGCCGGTTCGTTAATTTAATTACTTTCGGACTGCAACCCTAAATTTAATTCACCGAATTTCTTTGACTCATTACTTAAAAGTCGAGAAGCGAACGGAATTGGAATTAAAAGAGGTGTATTTAAACCACTCGTTTTCGTTTTAAAATAATAAGGAAAGTGAAATTTTAGTAACTATATACTTTCGGCGACTAATAAAATTATTGTAACATGTCCCATTTGTACGCTAAGAAGAAGGGCACATATAATGTTCAGCCCTATGGCCAAAAAGAGACCGCTTGCGAAATTAGAATGGCCCGACAATCGCATCATAAAACACCAGACTATTATTCTTATTGTCCCGCTATATCATTTCAACCCTTTCCGTTTACCGGGCCAGTCTGAAAACCAGCGTTTTGGACAAACCACTTATTATCGACTGCCATTTCTATACGTATAACTAGTATTCTTATCTATACTAACATATAAAGCTAAAGAGTTTGTCTGTTTGTTTGAACGGGCTAATCTCAGAAACCGCAGGTTCAAATTGAAAAATTCTTGTGTTGGTTAGAGCATTTATTGAGGAAGGCTATAGGCTATAAAACATCGCCCCGTGACTAATACGAGTAAAGATACAGCGAGAAATGTGAAATACATTGGGGAAATTATTATCATCATTGGTTTGAGGCGTACGCTGCAAAAACGGTTCAAGAAACCTAAAAAATATGTATGACGGAATGATTCCTCGACCAAATGTCCACGACCCTATATGTCGTCAATCTTTTAAGATTACCTTGCAAAAACGATGGAAAAGAACACGACCGACGTCGTGCATAGCAGCTTAAGTTTATTAAGATGAAGTGGTCCACGACCACGGCTGCTGCAAAGCATCCGAAACGTCGGGCCGAAGTTAAAAATAATTTTCAAATAAGTTTAACTAATATATCGCGTTTTAAACCGTTAAAGTGTTTTATTTAAATGTGTACTACTCGCGTAAACTATAGACAGTATGAAGGGGTTTGCAAAAACGATCGCGGACGAAGTCTCTGACGCAGCTAGTTTGTTATAAGACCTTCTTATAGATCAAAATCAGAAGAACAATATTGTGATGAAAATATTTAAAAAGCTTATCATTCTTGACAAGTCAAAAGTTTAAAAAAAACACCTGAACGGTTAAACCGTTCAGGTGCTTTTTTAAACTTTTGACTTTTAAACTTTTTTTAAACTTTTGTAGGTTAGGTAAGAAAGGTAGTGTGTTATTGTCCTCCTGTTCCATTGTAAACTTAATGTTATTATGAATTGAGTTAAGGTGTGTAAGAAATGCAGATACTTGTGCTTTGGGTAAAATGGTGAAGGTATCATCTACGTATCGCTTGTAAAGCTTAGGTTTAACCGGGGAAGAAGCAAGGGCCCTCTCCTCAAAGTCTTCCATAAAAATGTCAGCAAATAAGGGTGAAACTGGAGAACCTATGGCCGAAACGTCGGGCCGAAGTTAGAAATCATTTTCAAATAAGTGTAACTAATATATCGCGTTTTAAACCGTTAAAGTGTTTTATTTAAATGTGTACTACTCGCGTAAACTATAGACATTATTTAAGTCAAAAGTTGATTTAGGAGTTTTAGAATCGTCTTGAAAGAAATAAAATTTGTTTGCCGTTACAGTGCCATCTGGCGATATATAGAATATGACGCATTTTATGTCTAAAGTGTCCATTACTAATAACCATTGCTCGCGTGCGATGCCTTGAAATATGTATTACGTAGCGCTACTAGATACGTTTCTCTAAATTAGAAAACGTTGAAGCCTCGTAACCTGTAATGTCGATTAAAGTCGAGAACCAAGCTAACCTAGACTAATATATAAAGCTGAAGAGTTTGTTTGTTTGAACGCGCAAATCTCAGGAACTACTCGTTCGAATCAAATTAGTAATTAGTTGGTGAGAGCATTTATCGAGGAAGGCTTAAGGCTATAAAATACAGTGGAAAATGTTAAAGGAAACGGGGAAAATATTTCGTCTTATAGGGTTTCCGTTGCGTTCGCTGTAAAAAGGTTCAAGAAACCAAAATATGTGTATCATTAAGATTCACTTGCAAAAACGACGAGACCCGAACGCCGGGACGCGAACAACGTAGTGGGTAACATTTATAATTTGTAAAGAATTCCTTTTTTTTTGAAGTTCGCAAAAACAAATAATGCGGACGAATTCGCTGGCACAGCTGTATTGGTATAAATTTGTCTTGGGTCCACATATTCCTGGAATAAAATTTTCAGTTGTCGAGATAATCAGAGGGATGCCCTCCAAATATACTGAGCAGAGAAATAAATAAGTTCCGAGCTGCGTATTTCCGTTCGCGTTGTGGATGCCTCGTCGGTTCATTGTTCTTTGCGCGGAGTCGGATCTCAACAACGTTTCTTAATAACGCGATTACATCTAAGGCATTGGCTCTCATTATCCACTATTGTTCGGTGGCGCGCGATTTCTTTCTTCAATGGACTGGTGGCTAGGACCGGGTGGCATCCGACACATTTCGGTTTAGAATGCGTTATACTATTCACTATTATTTACACCATCGAAAAAAAAAAATTTCAATATCTTTAAATATAAATGTGAACAATAGTATTATTTCACATCGAATAGATAATATCGTGAGCGGGCGCGTCCCTCGATTGCCAATTCGGAACGCATCGCAGTCGATGCTGAGACATTTTTCAGACCCGTTTAAAATTAATCGGAAGGCACCGAGTGCGGCGGATTCGTCGCCGTTCGATCGCATTTCTTAAGGACGTCAAATCACAATATTCACACTTGGGCGCAAGGCACGGTCGGACGGCCGGCGCTAGATGCGATCATGACGTGACCGAAAGTTTGCAATAGGCGTCAGCCGTGCGCGACTAAAGAATTGGACGGGCGAGCCAAAAGGCATTACTGGCAAAGGATTACTGAGCTATAGTTAATCGTGTAACGACAATTTGAAATGTACGAAGGCTAATTGTCCGGGGACAGCTGATCGTAATTGGCGCATGCAATTGAGCACAGTGTATAACGTAAAGTCACGTTTGAACGTGAACGTGGATGTTTCCTACGTGATCGTTCCGGCGAAGACACCGTCTCTAATAACTTTTCGGGACAAAGTATAGCTTACACGAAGCCGACTGTTGGAATGGCTGTTACGAGTACTATCGCTTAATAGTCAAGCATTGATATTTATCTCACAAAAGTCGTGTAGTGAATGAAACCTACTCTCAAACGTGCCGGAATTCAAAGTGTAGTTACTGTAACATTTACCTCTACCGACTTATGGATTACGCCGGTTTCATACGAATATATTTCGTTGCAGTAATTTACTGAATAATACGTCCAGCGTGTACGATTCTCTTTTTCCTAAAGTGCTCCCCGCCTCGCAAACCGCAGACTCAGGTCGAGGGACGAGAGCGAGTGAGGCGGACCGGATTCGACTCCACACTGCCACCTAGAGACGCTTTCTGCCGCTTGTCTTTTGACTGCACAACGGTGGTCCCTAAATTAGGAAACCTACTTTTGTTTTTCTTAATTTTTCGGTAAAAACCGGCGTACCTTGGCGTGGCGTACTGCCAGCATGATGCAAAGTCGGCCACATCGCCCCCGCGGGAGCACCGCACTTCTCACACACGTAAATGGACGGACACCGAAACGCGACTGACGAAGGGACGCGGCGCGCGCCCACCTTCTGCGGCCGCCTCGACCGGTCCTCGCAGGGCTAAGCCGAACGAAACCTCGCTGCGGTGGAAGATTAACGCGTCCGGTGCCCTAAGAGGGGAGAGGCGACAGCCCTGGCGAGCGAAGCGGCCGGACCGGTCGGACGACCGAGTCGTCTTGTCACTTCGGATCGGCCCACAATTAGCGAGGGTCGCTGACCTTACACAATTTCTGTGGCTGTGGATCAGAGAAAACCTAAATGTCCACCAGTCCAGTTAAGAAGCGAAATCAACTGGAATATTGTCATAATTCGGAATGGTATGCAATTCATAATTAAACACTAATTATACATAGTTATCGATATCGATATTAAAACACTTCACTGACACATCACATACTTTCTAGAAGGGGAATTTTAGCGGCGGCTAAAGTCAGTTTACGCAAACCTTTATAATATTGTGTAATAACAATTTTTGAATGTGTTATTTGTCGGTTTATATGTGGTATATAGCATTATTGATACCATCTGTAATGTTTGTATGCTTATATGTACTTATATGTTCTAACTCTAGTATTGTTCTACTTCAAATGTCAAGCGTGGGGCTGAAAATCAGCATTGTCCTTCCACATACATCTAATTATGATTTGATTTTAATTCCGTAATTACTCCTTATCTTTCAATAAGCTTACTAAAATATCAAATTGCTAAATAATATCTATTAAAGCGATTACAAGAAAGATTTAACTTGCAAGAACGACGGGACGCGTAGACTAAAACTATCCGACTCACTCTATCTCTTACTCTCCCTTTGGAGTGCGCAAAGATCTCGAATTTCTTTGTTTTTAAAATTTGATTTTCTAAATTATGAAATATCTCTCAATCGCTTAAGAATACTGGGTCTAGTCAATAACTAAATTACGTACTTTAATTATATCTTCACAATTTTTATAATTAAAATCAGTTTCATTATTCTCACTAGTTTTACTTTTTTCCTCCGGATAGGGCTAACTTTCACTTAGTGCATTTTTATGCTCTAAACAACATTTCAACGAATTAATTTCCATTACATAAGCATTTAACAAAATTATTAATTATGAAAAGCTTATAAAAAAAACATAGACGTTAATAAAATTAAATACATATCTAAATCTTAGAGTTCATAATCAGACATTTTCTTCACTTACGTTGATAACTTTCACATTTCAAACCATTTGGGCTAGCTTTCGGGCAGCATCTCCACCCACCTCGCCTGGACTCCTCCTCATGAAGCCGGCACGCATTTCTTGATTTATTCAATTACGGTGACAGGTCTGATATTGCCTACATGCGAAATATAAGCTTAATACGCCACATACCCCAACGATAACAGATAATAATAATAATTTGTCGAAAAATAGTCGATGCGTCCGAATTTAGCTGAAAATCTCCACAGTGATGAGAAACGAGAATTTATTTATTTTCACAAATGCATTTGGAGCACTCTTTTCCCATTTTTACGGCGCGACACCAAAAGCCAACACTTCTCTATCAATAGATATGTTGGCTTTGTCCCGGTATACTAATAAAAGTCGTGTTGCTACTATAAGGGTTTCACTAAGACTAATACTTAACAATAACTTACTAGTGTAAGAATAAGACACTCGACGTATCATATATGTATATACTAAGTATGTATACCAATAATGGCTACACTACGTTGGCTTAAATTTTATAAAGATGAAAAGGAGGTTGGCAATATCAAATTTCAATGCCCAAAATTAGTATTCTCGCGGACAAAGTCGCCGTCACAGATAGTGCTGAATACGTTGGAAGTGTCTAGAACGATTGAAAATATACATATCATAGACTAGGGACTGCTGTTACTAAGTATCCTTACAGTATTGCTTAAAATTACTTCGTAAATTAGCCATTTCTTCCAGTAAGTATAAAGGATAAAAAAGGTTATTGTGGGACATTCTTACAAATATGATTTCTGACTTTTAAGGTGTACAATACGCTAGTAGTACATAATTGAATATACGCAGTCTGTTTTCGTTCTCTCAAAGGGGTGTGTTAATTTACGGTCTCACATTAGGAACGTTTACATCAGTGTTTCTCTAAAATATTGTCCATGTTTTATGCAAACCTTCCTCGTTTTATCTATTAAAAAACCGATTCAGAATCCGTTACGTAGGATTTAAGATTTAGACATAGGTACATACGGACAGACAGACGGCGACTTTGTTTACCTACTGTGTACAGTTATGGTTTTAGTTGACAACGAGTTTAATTTTACTTTTTTATAATAGTAGTTTGTGCAAAATTTAATATTTCTTTTTTTTGCTTTTGAAGTTGTTAAAAATATTTTAGGTACGTATGTCATAGTGCCTGTGTATTTGAAATATCCCGACGGAAATCCTTTCTCGGATCGAATCGATTATTCCTATTACAAAAAAGTAAAAAACGTCTCAAAAGTTTTTATAAGAAAAATATGTAAGTTTATAAGGTATGATGTCAAATACTGTCTGTAGTTTACGCGAGTAGTACAAATTTATATAAAACACTTCAACGGTTTAAAACACGACATATTTTAGTTAATCTTTTTTGAGAATTACTTTTAACTAGAGCCCGACGATTCGGATGCTTTGCAGCAGCCGTGGTCACGGGGAGACTAAGTCAAAATAAAAACTGCTACGCTAGCGCCATCCGTTCCATCGAAGTTGGTATTTGGCGATATTGGTCGCTTACTTGCAGAATTGACTAACGGTGTCTTCGCGTTTGCTGGTATCCTAACCAGAATGTTTAATATGGGATCCCAGGTGTTTGATAACTTGAGACTCGATACGCTATCCCACAAAAGACCTTTACAAAGAATGTGAAGTTCTCACAGTCCGGCAACTCTTTATCCTAAAAACTATATTAAAAAAATATTCTGGGCTCACGTTTGACCAAATTATCGTAAATTCCAAACGCAGCTTTCATTCAGTCTGTCGCTCTCTCCGTCACAAGTCAGCAATTGCTTCCCGACACTTCTCATTTATGTCCACTTGGTTGTATAATAAAATTAATTCTATATTGAATATCTATCCATTGACACTAACTAAATGTAAGAAAAAAGCTACAAAATGGCTTCTGTCACAATCTTATGAACAAACCGAAAGTCTCTTGAGGGTCTACCAATAAGTATTTCGATGAAATACTCACACCCACACGCACACACACACACACACACCCACACCCACACACGCGCACACACACACACACACACACACCACTCACTCATTGATTGTTTTACACTAACTTCCTTTAATTGTACCAAATAGTAATTTAGAAGAATGTCAATAGTAATTAGTTTAACTTATCTTATCATACGGAGGTGGGCGCTGGCTCCTGTGCCACAGCTTTACAGCTACTTCAGGCGCCATCGAAATACTCAATTTGTAAATAGGTTTTAAGCTAAGCTAAATAAAAAAAAAAAAGTTTTCCCATTAAAGTATAATAGTCGACTGTCCACCCTATTAAAATTGAAGTGTTTCTTAATTTCGATTGCTTCGCGTACCAATCTCTCAATCTTTTGGCTGGTCAAAACGAATGTAGTGATTCTCTTTATTTGACAGTTCCGCCGGGGCGACGCTCGTTCCAATATTTACTACCGAAATAGCCAGCCTCGACAAACTAGTTCTAGAAGACCGACTTTTGACTAGCCGAAGCCAGAGGAGCAAAGTACCGTCTAATCGACAAGGCATTCCCCTCTTATGACAAATACGAGCTTCAGCTATGAAGAATGTCAGGAGGGCCGATTCGATTAGTCCGAGCCACAAGACTCCATTTCGTGAACAACATCGAAGGTATTACAAACCGAATGCAAACAAAACGTTATACCCCCTATACGTATATATATCTGACTGCTCGGAGAAGAGCCTCAGCAGTCTTCCGGCTCTCGGCTGCGCTCATTCGGAGCACGCGCGACGTGACAGCTCGACGTGTGACAAGCGACATAAGCGTGACAGTAATGTCGGAGATACGCCTCTTCGGGGAATCTATATTTTTCGTTCTCAAACGGTTTAAATTACATCACATTTGGCGGTTTTCAAAATTCAGCACGATGGAAGCTTCCGAGTGTTCACGGAGTCTGAACTGCGGCGGAACGAGCCGTCACGTCTTACAACATTGTAGTAATTGTGGACAAATCCGTTACACTTGACGCCATCTTCGTTCCTTGGGAACCATCGGTTTCTCCCCAGGGAGATAGAAATAGTTGCGCTAGGAAAGACCCCCCGTTAGCGATATTAACGACGTTTCTTTGAACGAGGTGCAAATTGTTTCAGGAAAACTATCTGATTTTCTGATAATATTAAAAAACTAATATTAGAAAACTTACGTTTTTTTGTTTGTTTGAACGCACTAATCTCAATCACTGGTTTGTATTGTTTTTTTGCGTTGGATAAACCATTTCTCGAGACCGGCTTTAGGCTATATAAAATCACACAGTGACCAATATGACTGAAGAAACAGTGGACGATGATGAAAAAACGGGGAAAATTACTCATCTTTGAGGGCTTCGGTTGCGAGCGAAAACGTTTAAATTAATCAAAAATACATACGTATCTTGATACGTATGGAATCTTTAAATGACCTAAAAAAAATATCCGCGACAGTGTATGTCTATCGTTAAGGGTGAATTCGCAAGTACGAGACGAGACGCGGACGTCGACGTGGGTAACAGCTAGGATGCACGGGGTTACGTCGAAAACGAGTAACAAACTCAAGCATTTTTAAGTTATAGCACATATAAACTTTTGAGAAAAATATCCGACTTTTTGTTTAATATTTATGTTTATCGAAATTTCTTTTTTTTTTCTTTGTGATTTTTTAATTCCAAGTGAGTTGTTTTATTATTCTAATCATTAAAATAGTAGGTATCGACAGGCAATTGAAAATAAAGAAGAAACAAATTAAAATGTTGAAAATATTATTTTATTTTATAAATATTAAAAAACTATTGTATCGCAGGTCTACTGCAGATGTTTTAAATAATATCTACGGTGTTTAAGCTCATACCCTACAAACGGCTCATAGAAATTGGCCAGAAATCATGGAAACTATAACTCCTCAGAGGATCTTGGTCGAATTGACCGGTAACGCTGTTTATAAATATTATATTAAGTAGTCAATTAACTGTTAATGAATCGCTTAAACCACCGCTGCCGAGGTGTGGAGCGAGGATGTGTACTTCAGTTTGACACAAGTTAAGCTGCGTTGTGATTACTATTAACGGAAAAATATTAAAGATAATAATTACACAGAAATAGAAAAACACCCACGAGTCTTCGAGATTAGGTCAATATTTCAGCGGAGCCAGCTGACGGCGGCTGGCATTTTTCCGCCTTCTCTTACCCTAAATGGCACCGATCTCCCCTGGCTAAACCGCGTCACTTACCTCGGCCTTACAATCGACCGAGGCCTCACCATGCGTCATCACATCGCCACTGTGGTCGGTAGGGCCAACGCGGTTCTAGCCAAACTCAATCCCATCCTCTCTTCGAATATCCCTCTCCACACGAAGAAATCCCTCTTCAACGTGTATGTTCGTTCCCATCTTACGTACGCCGCACCTGCTTGGTATGCGCTGGCGCCGAAGGCGCAGAAGAACCGGCTCAACGCAGTGCAGAACAAGGCACTCCGGCGCATTACCAAAGCCCCGCGTTACGTAAGAAACGCTACCATCCACAGAGATCTCCGGCAAGCCACCCTCCACGACTTCATCGTCCGGATGGCCAAGAAGATGTTCGCAAAGGCCGACGCATCAAGAGCGCAGCATCTTCAGCTTCTCGCCCCATGGCACACCAGTCCACCGGACAGACGATACCCACTACCGCGAGACCTCCTTTCCCCTCCCGACTCCCCGCCTCTCCCTGCAGCAGCAGCAGACGGCAACAGATAGAGACACACCACCGGATATGACCTCGAACGCCGATCCCGCGTCTTCGTCCGCTGGTCGCCCCGCTGGGCCTCCCGCGGATGCATCGCGCAGGATAAACACACGGCCAGCTGACGGCGGCGATAAAGAGAACATTCATCGTCGATTTCATTTAATAGTCGGCTCCTCTCTCCTGTATGTAAATGTCTATCGTAGCATTTGGCGCCGAGCGGGGTATAATCTGTCAGTCATTTGCCGCGCGGCCGGTTCTCATTACGGATTAGCAACGCCTCTTTTCACGAGCTACTTTCGCTAACGCGCTTCATGTGGGCTTAAGTGGCTTCGACTTTCACTGCACCATCGTCCGCAAAAAAGTGAAACAAACACAAGTAACATTTCGATCATTAGCAGCCGCACACAATAAAGCTCATACACGGTAAAATTAAACATCGTCTTCACACAGCTAACGAAGCCCTACGTCGAGGTGCTACGTAGGATTCGCTGAATATTCATAACGCTACGCTCGCCGGATCCTAAATAGCACCTCTCATTAGTACTGTGAGCAAATATCACAGCGGATGTTGCCAATGCTGTTTCGTGGTCTTCGAACGACAACGGTCATTGGGGCGAAGCGTCATTTTGGGCGACGGCCGAGCTTCCCCTTGTAAAAATCTTCTAACGTATTAGGATTCACAACGCGACCGAACACTCATTTGATGGTATCGGGCGGCGCCCGATCTTTCCTCTTCGCTAATACGCGAGACGGGATCGGAACTGAACGATCTCAAATCGAGCGAAACAAGACTAGAGCGTTGCAGAATTATATTTTGAAAATTCGGTTTCATGTGAGCGGGACGTGTCTCGGCATATTTATGCTCTAATTAGCAAAACGGCGCAGTGCTCTTAGTCCTTCGCACATCTTACGGCGCGTGGACGAGACTGTCTTAAAATCGGCGAGCCGACCGTCTGGCGTACGCTTCATCTCCGATTAGCGCGATCGCTTAGTGGAGCTTAGAAAGGGGATGAGGCAGATGAATTAATGCCAACGCCAGGGGGACCACTGAAAATCAGTGTTGCAACACAAGTGTGTTCGTAACGTCATTATACCACTCATCCTGTTTTAGGAGTTGCCATAGTATTTTTTTTTGTTAAGCCTTCTATATTTTGTATTAAGTTAATATTTGGTCATAGTTTTTATTTTTGTAAGCAACTTTTGAAATAAATGATTTTTATTTTTAATGTAACACAGTGTAAGACAACCCTAACAGTTACAGTACTCTCGCAGGTGTAAAAAGCTCTGACCACGCTTATTCCGTCTCGTGAATCTACTGAATGTTGTCATGGATAGGAACGATTTATGGGCGTCTCGGAAGTTCCGGGCGGCCGTTAGTGGTCCTGAAGCGCGCGATGCAACGGTCTCCATAGGTTGGCCCATTCTTAATCACACAATGTAAAGCGGAAGTCAGAAAGTTTTTATCGTTTAAAATACTGCGCCATAAAATTATCTCGTCACATAAAAATTATTTAACAATAATAATAATTGACTTGCGTTCTCTTTTCGCAGTAGAAGGGGCGACATCAAAGGGCAGAAAGACGCCCTCCATGACCGATCCCTCCTTAGCGGAACCGCAGTGGTTTCTTTGTCCCGTATACGAGGGTAAACACGAGTGATATAACTTTCATAATTAATGCTACAGTACATTTCAATAGTGTTATTCTAGCAGAGAAGCATTGACGGACGAAATTGCGAATGGACGTAAAAATTCTACATTCAATAATTGTATTATTAAATAAAAGTTCTGTTTTATAATAGTTAGTGTTAATTTCAGCGCATTATTTGCAAAAATTACTATGCAAGTCTTGGCTGCGACTAGGCATTATGTGCCTCGGTTTCGCCTCGGCCCACATTCGGACGTTCGTCCATCGATGCCTCTCTGGCCGCTGCAGTAATCTACTTTTAAGTGAATACATGCGTACATCGTGCACCGGAATTAACAACGATCCATAAAAAAAAAATTGGAAGTAATCCAGTCAAATTATTCTTTGCGAAATAGAGGTAAATTTACAATAATTTCCATATAGCTAAAAATTGGTATGAATTCAGAATACGGTTATAGATTAATGGTGAAAAGTCCCCCTTGTGTGACTTTTTATCGATGCTAATGATTGCTAATTTGCAAGTTGTTTGTTTTTTTTTTGCAAAAATGGTTCAGACTAAAATCGTAGATCATCAGATTCTCTACCCTAAGGAACTAATTGAAAGCCTCAAAATGAGATATAACGAGAGGTCGTCTTCTTAGAGTTCCGATCTCCAGGGAAATCATAAGAATTATTACTATAAAGGCCGTCACTCGTCGAACGACGAATTCTCTGGAGGCGATTTTAATTCGCGGAGAAAAGAGATTCGGTTCATTCAATGAAACGGTTAAGCCGATCTAGGCCGAAAGAAGGCGAAGCTCACAGCGTACATCGGGCGCTTCGCTGAGAACCACACAATCATAGGTAGCCGAGGTGCAGCTGATCGAGCAGCGTTTATTTTTACACCGGTTATTCTAGCCTCTTAAGGAAAATCAATTCAGCGCCTCCGTCGTTGCGCCGGCCTCTCGACTCGACTCTGAAATTGAGAGGGCGAGTCGAGTATCGGCGGACAGGAGAGAGTTAATGGAACAGTATTAAAGGAGCGGAATGAATACCGCTTCGAAGATAATGTATCGGAGCACACAATACTCCATTGTATGTGCCGCCTAATCGGTCGATATGGTTATAGACCGCCCGCTAGTCGTACTGGGACATTTTTAAAATTTAATTTGGAAGTGCAGCACTATGAAAGTTATGGATTTAGCTCGAGTTCTCGAAACTTAGTGCAGTCAAATTAGGCCTTAAAATAGAGGTGACGTTACAGTAATTCCTATAGAGCTAAAAATTGGTATTAATGTTCAGAATATTATTAAAAATAATTTGTGAAAAGTCCATCGACGCCCTTTGTGCCCTTGTTTTTCTTTATTGATAACGACAATTTGCCAGAATTTGTTTTTCACGTTCTTAGACAAACGGCGAGTTCAACAGCAACATTAAACTTTTTTACAGCTTAAAAGTCTAATTTGACTGGACTAAGAACCATTCGTGAAGCGGGATTAATAATGGACAAATACGAACGCATAGCAATCGAGTGAAATATTAAAAATCCCTTTCTCCGAGAAAATAAAGCGCAATAAACAATGTCGCATGTTTGTGTTTTCAACGTTATGAGATCTGCGCTGACCTCTCGTTTTTGTGACCTGGAATCGATCAATTTTATATTTAAACCTGTGATAAATTCCCACGAGCTTTTCTTTTAACGAACTGAATATTTTTTTCTTTTGACTATTTATTGAATATCGCTGAAAACAATTGGAACTCAAAAGGCGCGATAAGTAGTGTTGTGCAAGTGTGAAGACCAATTTTGGCACTAATGTCTTCAACACTACTACGAACGATGTCCATTCGATACTACCAAACAGTCAGCATAAGCTTAACGCGAACAAAATTATAAGAATGTACGTATCGAAGACTAGGTATCCTATATCTCATCTTAAAGGCACCCTATATCTTGTGGACCCAGCTATGTTCAAATGGGTCTACAGGTTTCTGGCTTGTATCTAGTTTTTCAGCTATGATTAAACTTCTATACCTTTGTTTCTTTAACTTTTGTAAAAACGTCAAATTTATCCAAACGAGATAACCAGAATAAGGTGCCCTTGAACATTGTAATAGGCAGCACGCGTGCACAAATTAAACTTAAGGTCTACCAAGATCTCAATTTACTTCTTTCGTCTTATCTTAAGCTAATCATTTACAAAATGCGACTCATAAACCGCCCACAGTGTGGGCATGACAGAGCTACAAATCTTTCGTATGTTTAAAACGAATCTGAAAAGAACTTTATCTACCCCCAAATAGACCCACCGCATTAAATAATATAAATTATACGCTTATATTAAAAATAAAATAGTCGATGAATAAATGAAATCAAATTGAATATTCTAAAGGTAACGAAGGGAAACAAATCCTGTAGTTATTGAAAAAAATATTTTATAAAAGATTACGAAAATGAACCCGAGTCTAATTGGCTTCTTTTTTAGGTGTTGTGGTAATTTATAAAAATATATTTAGTTCAGTTAAATACAAAGATTATATTCAATTACATAATAAATTGTAGGCCTGAGCCCACTCTATGGCAGCAACCCCGCTGTTTGCTGTTGCTGTTTTTCTTACTTCATTAAGTTCTGTAGGGCTATTTTTCGGTGTGGACTAATTTTTTTTTAATTTGAATTGATTTGTGTAAATCTTTCAACTTCTGAGAACCTCATCTGTTGTGTATTTAATATTTGCACGGGGCAAAGCCGGGAGGACTGCTAGTCGTTATAATAATTAGCCGACAAAGGTGACAGACGGTTTTATCTAAGCGCCGCAAAGCAGCGCGCTTCTCCTAGACTCTAGAGGTGATTCATGAGAGTTAGACAGGGGGGGCGGTAAAGGGGGCGGTCGGGTCCAACTATTAATATCCCGTCTCAGCGTTCGCCGCCGGGTGAGAACCTAAACAATTTACAAACTATGCTCATATTTTCTTGCAGTTTGCGTTAAAATAATACGTTCGACTAAGACGCATTATGTACGGAGACAGAAAGGATATATTTATCGCCCTAGACTAAATTGGGTCGTTACAGTCGAGTCTAAGCAGAAGAAAAATGAGTGTCCATTCTTTATGACCCGTCGGAGCGAGGCGACCTCGTAATTGCGCGTCGTCCTCTCGCTGAGATTACTCTATAATTACCCCCGGTTTTCGCCCGAGAAGCACTCCCGATAAGTCTTTTGCGGCATTTACGTGATCGAGTTCAAAGTGGCTTTAGATCGAGGATTCTAGATCGAGAATGTGCGGTGAGAACGGGATACACCTCGCCACGCTGCTGCTGCCCAAACGACGAATTATTACATGACATGAGAAATAAAAATACACCCTGACAACTTTAACGAGGTGAAATACCGACAAGTGACACACTACAGTAAAGAATATCGAAGCGATAAAGGCTGAAGCGATATAATATCGAGTGTTTTATGTCGGTTAAGGAGTTTTACACGAGCGGAGTATGGAAGGTGTAGTGAGTCGAGAACAATAGGCACGCTGGGGGAGGCGGGGGCGAGAGGGTCAAACGAAGGAATTCAATTACGCCTCGATGTTGCCTTTAGCCTTTGGCTGAATTCGGTCGCATGAGAACGTCCGCCGCGAAATCCCTCGTTAGTTCTTCATTTTTACTCTCGACTACAAAGCGTTCGTTTCCATATAATAATAATTTGCTGCACGCGGGCGACTTGCGGCTCGATAATTCTCGTGCGAGTCGGAACTTATTACGTCGCATTTACTTTAATATGCAGATTAAACGATTATATATATATATTTAAGCGCATCGCGTAATCAGTCCTCGATTTCGGCGATTTGTTCCAACGAATTCTCGTCGATCTTAACTCGTGGACGATACGCCGTCGTTCATAAAGGCGCAAATCGCGTCGGAGGACCCTCGACCATTTTCTATGAAAGTTATTGTTTTAATTAAATCTCTTCACTGAATACTTTCGGTCAACAAAGGCACTCCAACATATTAAAACATTAGTGCAGTCGTTTCAACAATCACTCTTCTGACTTTGGTTTTTCCCAAAGTACTTCCGACCTCCGCCAATTATTGGTCTTTACTGTGCATGTTAGCCTTTCATATAAAATAAAAAAAATACGTTCACTGTGGTGCGTACAGGTTATTTAATCCAACAGATTTGATTCGAGTCGATTTTAGTATCATTGCACTTGTTTGGAATTCGAAATTACACTCTAACACTATTCTTGTACGTAAGATTTGCGAATTTCTAAAAGTTAATTAAAGTGGTAATTGATTGAATTTGAGTTTACAAATAAAAAGGTAATAAGTCTTCAAAAGCTGCATTGTTTCTTTGTTATATTGTAGTGGCATCGATAGGGACGCGAGCCTAAAGCTAATCTCCCCAGCCACAGACAAACTGGCTCGTCATCGCTGACTGCAGTCAAATTATATCTATTCAATATTCGCACTTCAATAACGACATTTACATTATTTGATACCGCGGGCGTTGAATCTCATATATTTGCCTACGAGCGATAATTAGGATGAGATTATTATCGACGCGTCGATGGCTTATCTCGGGCACGCGCTCGTGTCGGGAGAGCAAACGTTGCTCTTAGATAACGCCACCTGAGAGATGGATCTTCGCACGACAAACATTGTTCTCGAGTCGAATTAAAAAAGCGAGGCTTTACGAGTAAGTATGTCATTTTTTGTATGTAAGAGTATGTACTCGTAGATAATATTAGCCGCCACTCACTGACCCGGCAATGTTGAAGGACCAATGAATGGCGCGTCTTTTAATATGAATTGAGGACTGAAGTCCCCCGTTAGCGCCTCACAAAGCGCTTAGGATCTGGGACGAGCCGCGCCGGCATCCGAGTTACTGACGCGCGTGTAAAATTAAAAAAAAACAATACTTATTGTGTATGATTGCGTAAATCATTGTGTAGTGTAAATTTGAGATTATTAAGAACAGAAATACTTCCGAGACAATATAACATATATATAATTTCCTCCCTGGTCACAGCACACCCGTTGGGTTTGCTTCGGTACAGACTACAGAGTACATCCGTCAGTTGAGTCGACTTTTATTGGACAAATCGTATTGCTGCACTATGGTCTCGTAGCGCGCGAAGCGTCTCTAAAATAGGTATTTTAGAATGTATTCCATTTAAAGGATGTTAGAGCTATACGAAACTGAAAAAAATATCTTCTACCGTGACTAAATATGCCAAAAACATCCACTTGAAACTGAGGATGAAAAAATTAAGATAAGAGAAATTACATAGTGATAGCTTCACATAAATTTTCATGAACATTTTAAAAGATAAATACCTACTTAATAAATATCATTAGAATCGATATAACTTAAGGTTTTTATTTTAATAATTAAAATAATAATTACAAATTATTTATTGGCCATTAAGTTAAATCAGACAACCCTTATCATTCTTGAAGATCTTCAATTTTAAATTGACCGTTCTCTCTCTCGCTGTTTGCCGACAAGGAAACTTTGTTGCATTTTTTGGTTCAAATCTAATCAAATAGTTATTAGTAGATAAAACAATTACTGCGCCTTATAAAATAAAAATCCCCAACGTGCGCTATGATATAGTTTTCAAAACTTCAATTTTTACGTTTTGATGTAATGATTAGTCCACTAGGCACAAAATATTATCGTTTAATATTGCAATAAAGTACTTAGAAAAATATAATTGGTACTTTATGCCATCATCTGTGGAACGGAAAACGCATAATAAAACATTACGATATTTCCCCGTGTCTATGTCTATCTAGCAAAAGAAGACCTACCGAATCAGCTTCGAAAGAAAGAACTATCGGATGAGGCAAAAAGTTATTGGAATTATAAATGAAAACTAATCTGTTTTATACACTGGTTTCAATTTCATTACAAGCTGAAGAGTTTGTTTGTTTGAACGCCCCAATATCAGAAACTACTAGTTCGAATTGAAAAAGTCTGTGTTGTATTGATTAGAACATTTATTGAGGAAGGCTAGACTATAAAACATAGCCCTGTGACTGATACAAGAGAATATGCTTACTAAACGGAGTGGCTGTATACAAGGGGGGTGTATTGTAGCCACAAAAAAAATGTAAAAAAATATAAGTATAACAAACCAACACATATAATATATACTTGTTACCTAATCTTGAATAATAATTTTGATAAATATGCATCGGTTAGTTATGTTGACAGTTGTTCTGGCGCCGAGTGTAGACCAATGTCACTGCACGAATTTGCTGACGGTTGTTGTGATATTCCATACTATGTATTGCAATTGTGTTTCACTTAATTTTTGTATTCGTCGTATTGGAGAGTCTTCTTCCTAAAATGATCGTCTGGAAAGTATTAGAGTGTACGCGTCCCAATCGCGAGCCAGAGATTCTATCGTCGAACGTTCAGGTTCGTCTCGCAGAACAAAATGCAAGATCGTCGCAGCGACTTGAACGAAATAGAGCTAGGAATTCGCGAACGCGTGCGAGGGACACTAACACTGAACGCTCGCAGCGGCTCCTGAACCAGCGAGATAGACCACGGTCGTTAATAGAGAGGACGCGCAATACAATTTTTTTCTGATTAAGTGATTCATGGTCGTTTTAATTAGCATGCTTATATTTGTAGTTAATTATGTCTACCCGTGCGAAGCCGGGACAGGACCGCTAGTATAGTATATAGCCATCAAATAATGCGCCTAGGGAGCTACTGGGTATGCACGTGTCTCGAGATCTATGAAGGCGAGCGTGGGCAAAGTTCTTTGAAAAGAAGACGAATCACGCGAGATTGCTTTTAAATAAAGTTGTTTCACTCGGCGTCGGAAGAAACTTCACCAACTTTGCAACGGCCGCTCCCAGCTCGAAACCGCCCGCCCCGGAGTGCAGCCCTTACACTCTCCGTGCAGGTTATATTCAAAGTTTTCAATGTTTACCAAGCAAACAGCAAAGCATTCGTTACTGTTAGAAATGAAGAAACCGGGCATAGGAGTCAATAACAATCTTTGAACATCTTGAAAAGAAAACATATTACGAGTGAAATTGTCTTTCCACGTAATGCACGCGCAAATAAGCATTACTTTCAGAAAAACGAAGTCGTTATACGAATTAATTTAGAGAGCCCGTTCTAAATCTCGGGGCCCGTACCCCTACCGCCCCAGTATCGCAATCTCGTAAGGGTCAACAATGACACTATGAGCCAAATCTCTTTATTGCGATCTTTGCTGCTTCGTGCTCTTTAATGAGAATAGGAAAAAAGTGGTGCTTTGTGTAAAGACACTACACGCGAACCTATACCTATACCTATTAGATTTTATTGGATCTTTCAGTAAGGGACCGTCCAAAACGTGCAAAACCATTTGCTGTACTATCCCGATTTCAGATAAGCGAGTCCGTGAATGACATTTTGTTTAATTTCTCAAGAGAACCGAATCTACAATGTACACCGCTGCCGGCACCCGAAATGTTTTTTGTTGATCGTTTGTTAAACGAGTAGCTATATTGAGCCGGTCGGTTGCAAATGTTCGGAGGAATGGATGGCACCCCCTCAGTGGAAAAATAAAGTCCAGTAAAAGACTGAAACGTAACTCGCCTATTCTTCTTCCGCGTGTGTAAGAGGAAATTACTTAGAAAAGGCTCGATCATAGTATTTCCAAAGCGTGTTATGCAAAATGGCACTACCATATACGTTTGGCATAACTGACGAGTTCAGAATATATTTAATTTGGGAGTTAAGACGCAGAAACCAAAAGCACTCGATTTTCTGGCACCAATTACTGAATCCATCTTAATTAATAATCTGAATTTAATCTCCAAATTGACGGCGTCGCTAAAAATATTCTTTTAACATATTCAACCTAATATGAAAACATTAATATTTTTCACATGTTATTGCACATGAAGGCACTATATAATTTAAAAATTATATTCAACATACTTTTTCTTAAAACTCCTAGTAATACCTAACTTAACTAGACAATTCAAATTAGTAAAGGATATTTTATGACGAGTTGACAAAAAAAATCAAAACCTTTAATATCTGAAAGTTATTCGCGTCTTTGTCATTTGTGTCGCAGTTATTTACATTTAGTTGGGCCGCTTCGTCCACCACGTTTGGATATAAACCGCTTTACTAACCGCTAAGTGAGGAGCGCCCGGACCGACACAAAATGTAAAACAATTTAGACCTATAAAACGGCTGGCTCAGGGGCAAAGAGCCGGTCGTTTAATAGGGGACGACCGAGAATGTTTTAAGGCAGAACGATGTCAAGATGTTATTCGTGTGCACCTGGACGAACAAGTGGGCCGTCGCAGCCGCTTCGCCCGCGAAGACCGTTGAGGTCGCCCTCGTTACAACATTTTACGAAACATAGGCGAATCATTATTCTAACTCTCGACACCAATTCGCATATCGTAAACAATTAACATGTAACAGCTAAATCTCGCTTGCACGGGTGGGATTCGAACTAACGACGGGTTTTTTTGAGCTTAGACGGAGCTTTCAAAGTGGCAGAGTCGGGCATTACCGCATTACCGCAACGAACGGTAAAATATAATAAATAATAATAAAAGTTAAATTACGCAGATTGACCGTTGAAAAGAAATCATTCGGTGGGGTGCGTCTGCGCCTACGCATCGTAAACTATCCGTAGCGAAAGTGACGTTTATGACAAAAAATGTTCACGGTAAATTTAATACAACAATATCTGCACTCACCCTCGCCGGTTTAGCGGAGCGAAGAAACGAAGCGGCCAGCTCGGACGACGCAGACGGCGAAGGGGACCGGATCTCCCCATCTGGAAACGCGAGACAAAGACATTAGAGTAACAGAAGTAAGTGCGAGGCGACAGGATTGAGGTGCCGACGACGGACCCGTAGGCGGCGGCTCCAGAGCCAGAAGCTGCCGGTAGAGTTCCAACTCGTGGTAGAACTCGGGCGAGGGCGGATCTCTGCGCCGCTCGTCTCCGGCCCCCGGCTGGGCCGAGACTTCGGCCGTGAGCCCGTTGAGCACGAGGCGGCGCGCCGCCATCGCGCCGCCTCGCCGAGCGCACCATTCGCGCTTCGGCTCCCTCAATGTGACACTAGAGTTCCATGGGGCAATTTTTATTTAGACTACCCTACACTTCACAACGTTCTTCGGAATCACTTAATTGCGTTATTTCTGAAACGACACAATTTAATAGCTTTTTCACTTAGACGCAGTCGCGCGTAGCTCGCGACGCTTACATCCGAAGGATACGAGTTAGTTATTACGATTACTGTAGAACGAAGTAAGGAAAAGTTTGAAGCGGGAAGAGCCGAGCTCGCGGAGTGGTCCTCGAGCGCCGGAAAGCGACACGACACTGACTGAGCGAGCTCTGCCCCACGATGCGCTCCGATTCGATGCCGAAGGGACGAGGGTAAATGCTGTCGCTCACGTGAAACTTTACTTGTTACATTTAGAATAATATATTTTGCAGCTAAGATGGGAGCCCTTCTGCACATCTCAAACTACCGTAACTCTCTCGCGAGACATACGAAACGCCGGTATTATCTCATCTAACAGGAATTGAGATCTGCTCGTTTGTTTCGATAATACCTAAACTTGGTCATTCGATCCCATTATATACAAACAAATATTCCAAACGATGTTTTATTTTTGAGGATAACTCGTTATACCTACGTACAGGTTGTTATTACGAAGCTAAAATAAAAGGAAGCTCTAATTCTAATATTCAAAGCAAAGAAAATAAGAGTTAACAGTAGGGCGTCTAAGAAATGAATATGATTATAGCCAGATTCGCAGTTGGTTGACGTGATGCATCAGAATAGTATCGCTTCAATACATTTAGCATACACCAGGCTTGCGAGCTTATTCTGACGGTGATTATAATTCGTTGATGAAATTAATATCATTAAGCAAACTACATTGATTCCAGTATCACAAATTTAATATCTGTTTTGTAATCTGCTCGGATAAGTCATGGGATACATTTTTACATTCCTAGAGGTAACGGCTGTATACATTCAAAGTACCATCGATAGGCATAGGAACGCATCATCAAGAAGATGTGATGCAGTGCGTCACGTCTCGTCAACCGAATGTTAATCCGTCTTATGGGGGGTTTGACAATAAAGGGCGGAAATGTAAAAGAAAAGAAAGCATTACCTTATAACTTCTACCCTATTGGCTTGCATTACACGACCTCCGTCTTATGGTCCATGTCGAAGCGAAGGTCTAATACAGATTGATACATTTATTTTAGCGGTTACAATTATTAGTTTAACACTTTATAATTGCAATGATAAGTGTGACGAGTGACGGCACGATGAAGGCATAGACAATTTAGCAATTTTAAGTGTAGATTATAGAAATGATATGTGTATTCCATTTAATTTATTATTTATTTTTCTATAGGCTATAGAGTATAGTTCATGAAGAATACATAATTGTAAAATAAATAAATAAAATTAAACGTTAATAATCCAAAGAGTTTTAAAATTATCCTATTTTATATTGTTCAAATTACCATTTCGTCTAAGTTTGATTTTATGCTCTGGTAATGTAGCTAACATTACCGTAGCTACCTACTTTGAGACAGACAAAAAGAATTGGCTAAATTATTACTTTAACGAAATTATATTATATTTCCCACACCTTTTCTAAAACGATTGAACGAAATAATATTGTCTATGTTGTACATAGCACACTATAATATATAAAATGGTAAATTTTTAAATAGTTAAAAGAATACCATAGGAGAGACGAACACAGACTTATATTATAACTAAATAACAGGGGAATTCAGTTGTTTGACTTATGTAGGGTTTCAACTTGGAATTTTTTGTTTTGGTTTATTGAACATTATATTTCATTTTCCAGTTATTAATATTAAGTATTAAAATTAAAAAATAAATATTAAGTAATTAAATATTTACCGACTTTACTTTAAATTGTATCGTTATACATTTTATTATTAGCTTTAGGATGAGTCAAACTTTCTCATCAAAACACAATTATATTTTTTATCTCTTACCACCCGCGAGTCAAACTCGTAAAAATATATCAATTTGTCTATGTCACAATAGTCTGTGTGATTCTTCGATGCTTACACGGTATCTTTGTTAAATATAGAAACTTGTCAAACGTCACTTGGTCACTAGTCAGTCGTCTCTAACTAAATTGTTGTCATTAGTTCTTTATGGTCGTCAAATATCCGTATTTTACGTAACACTACGTGCGTTTGTCGTTATCATTAAGGGGAAAAAGCTAATTCATTAAAATGTTGGGCTCTTTCGGAAGAAAACAGGCTGAGATATTGGCCTGTTACGTGCCGTCGATGCTGGCGTTCGGAGGCGCAGCCTTCACGGGCATGCTGTACGCAACCGACTGGAAGGTCTTTTGCGCTTATATACCCTTTTACAACGGGAAATTCAAGAAAGAAGAATCCGAATCTTAGTGAAATTTATTGAAGTTCTAGATCGATTAGTGTTATAGTACTATTAATTATGTAATTATAAGCTTAAAGTATATTTGCTTGTATCTTATTCCAATTACCCTGCCTAAGTCACCACAAATCACTGAGTAACAAACAGCAGATTATTCTAACTAATATTAAGTGACCTAGTCATTCAAAGCGCCTTATGATTAGACCCAGTTTATATGGTTTTATTGATATATCTGAATTACTTGCTTTAATCATGTCAGATTCATCAAGAAGCAGACTTCTTATATTTTAACTTGAATAGTCACTTTAACAATACCTTAAGGAAAATTACTATGAGTTTAGCTTAATCCTTTAAATGGCTCTCTTAAAACCCTATTTGTGGGCTCTGATTTTTGTTCTGTTCTGTGTCAGCTAAATTCTTACTGACTTATAGTAAAAACCAGTGTAGTTAAGAAATACCTAAACTGAGTTATGTTTTACTTTAATTTTTATTTATGAAGGTTACAGTACTTAGGTAGACCACTAATTGAACATATTGATTGTATTACAAGTTGTTATGTGTTAAGTTCTCCAAATGTACAATCAAAAATGAACATGTTTTCAGTAAATCATGTTTATGAACTTAAAAAAAATATCTACTTTTACTTGCATCTATTGTTATCAAAATGAAATTATAACTTCCATATTAAATTCTAAAATTACATTATAAGACCACAACTATATGACCTCGTTCTGGCACCAAAGCTAGATCTGCCCCTGTGGGTGCGTGTCCCTGTGATTTCATACATAGTCATAAATTCAAACCTACATACATATGGCAATAAAACAAAAGTTTTATTATGATGAGAAAACAAGGATTAATTGAAACCAATAAAGTTGGTACAGCACAGTGTTTATTCATACATTATATTACAACAGTGAGAATTAAAAAAGTGCAAATAACTTTTGTTAGTTTTTGTTTGTGTTGTCTAGGGTTTCTATGTAGACCACACACCGTGTAACTATTTTAATTCTACCAATTATACTTCTAAATTTTATCAATAATATATTATGGCATTTGAACTGCTTATAATTAAATATTTCCTTTACTACTTTATTATCTAAAAATGTTTATTGTTATACTAAAACCTAAGTAATGTTCAGGTATTGGATCAAATCTGCTTTTCTTATAAAGACAATACCACCTTTTATAAAAAGCAGGACTGAAACATTATCTACTATGTATGTATAAAATATTGGAATGTAAGAAATAGACTAATGGAGTATTAATCATGTTAAAGGGAGTTGAAATCATAATGCACCTATGTGTAAATATTACATTTTCCTTATAAATTGTTAGTCTGTAGAGCCATGATCTAGTATAGTGGGGTTTTTCAGAAGACACTCAAGAAATTAGCAGGGACTGACGTCCTTGACTGTTCGCTTTTCGAAAATTATTTTAGTGAGAAATTGGAGAATTCAATCAGAAACGTAGGTCGGGCTCGCGATCGCCACTGCCGCCCGCGTCGGCTTCGCTCTCTGCGTCCTCGTCGTCCGTAGGCACTCCGGCCTCGTCCTCCGCATTGCTCTCGCCTGCAAACACATTTTGATCTGATCGTTTTAGTGGACACACAGTGCAACGGTCGTTCCGAGATACGCCAGTGATCGACGACTCACCGGGACAGTGCGGCGCGCCTTTGGTTCGCGAACCCGGCAACTCCTGTCCGTGCGCGTCGACGCACCAGCACACTGCGAGCGCGGCGTGACACTGGCGTGGCCTATAGAAGCCCCGCGAGTCGCACGCTGGCACATAAGCGCCGCGCCCGCGGCCTCTGCCGCGGCTGCGCGCAGCTCTCGCCAACGCCTCGCAGGGCCTCGACGCTCCGCCGAGGCAAGCGCACCACGCGGCGCGGCTCACCCCGGCGCCCGCGCCCGCGCCGCACGATGCTAAGAACGGCCGCAGGCACCTCTCGCGCTCGTCGTGACCTACGTCGCACGCTGTGTTTAATAGGGGGCTATAGCTCACTCTATAGCTATAGATATCGTTCAGCAAATGTTACATACTGAGTGCGTACAAATCCGAAGGTTGTAGGAGACCGTCGCCGGCGACGTCTAGATGCTCGAACATCCACCTCACCTCCGGTTTACACTCGGCGCCGTAACCTGTACAACGAGAGGGTCGTGAGTCGGGGATCGGTCGCGAGCTGAGGCTACTAGCGTGGACGCGAACCGTGAGAGGACGGCGGGCGCGCGCCGGCCTGCTCCATGAGGACTGAGAACCAGTCGAGGAGACGGTCGGCCATCTTGTCGAGCGCGCATCGCTCCGGCAGGACCTCGTTGTTACGCACTTCCAAGCGCCTGCGACGACGCTCCTGTCGGGAATAAAATACGTTTAGTGACACGAGGCACGAGGGCCGCCGGTAGAGCAACTTACCTCTTCGTATCGCGGTTTGGTCCGATGAGGCCGCGGCGGTCGCAGCGGGGGAAGAGACTCGTTGTCCGAAGGGCGGCGCCGTGGACAGGGACAGAATCCGGCGCAGGCGAGGCGCACGGGGGGACGCGGCCCGTGCACGCAGTTGTGCAAGTCGAGGCGACAGAGCGACGAGTAGGTGCGGTTGTCGGAGCCGCAGAGGAAGGAGCTGCGCGACGCGCTCGAGCAGCCCACACATCGACCGACCTCGGGCCCCGAAGGTGACGGGGCTGCTCGATCGCGGGACTCGTAAAACACGTCCTCGTCTTCCTCGTTCCGCGTCGCAGTGGCGCCCGAGACTATCGTGTCTCTAAAAGAGCGAATATGTCTCAAAACATACTTCATAGTAGAGTACCTTGATCAAAGTAAAGGCAAAATTGATAAGACCGCTCGTAAAATTAGTAAATTTGGCTCTACTGACCCTCTACGCAGAATATCCTTCTTGGAAGCGCAAAGTGCGGTGTACGAATCTCGAAGGAAACACACTTCTCGCTTCTTGCATACCAATGCACGGCACAGCTCGTCTGTAAGAAATTTGAAACCAGTTACTCTATGGTAAAATAACATATCCTGTTGTATGGTTTTGTTAGAGTAGTTGATACTGGCGCAATAAAGTAAGGACATTGCCATATGCCTCATTTCTAAAGTTTGAAAATATTTATAAATGAAAACACCTTACCTTTCAGGTAACCTGATCTGACGAGAAAACAAAAGTAAGGACTGTGGGCTGGTGATTCTAAAGCTAAAAAAACGCTATACTATATATTGCATTAACTCACTTTGAGGGTCATAGACGTATCTCCGTGGACGACGAGACGAAACGACATCCTGAAATGCATTTAATAGTAACGAATTACTTTAGCGAACATCATAATATTATTCATATATAACGCCTGCCACTTTTGAAGAGCAAAATATATCTTTAACTCTGGCTTTATATCGGGTCAACAGCGCCGACTTCCTACTCGCGTCTCTTGAGCTCTGTACGATAGGAAATAATTACGTAATTGTTGCCAGAAGTGCACATTACGCTCTCCTCGCAAAAATAGGGTCAAGGCGATCGAGCTACACCTAGGTGAAGAAAGCGGACTACCGGGGCATCGTCGAATTCGAAGTCGTGGTCGGGGCGCGCGGCGCCGGCGGCCAGCAGCGCGGCGAACACCGCCAGCGAGGCGATCCGCGTCTCGAGCATCACGTCCGCTGTGGAGGCTTCGCCCCTTCGCGACGGAAACGGCAGACCTTCAGGCGATGTGCGTCCGCGTTGCGACCTCTCCAGTGCGGCACTGGCCCCGCCGCCCTCCACCTCGCGCCGTCGCGCCGCAGGCCGCGCAGGGTGCTCGCTCGCCCCCGACCGCTCCTACCCGTTTAGTACGAGAACGACGTGAGTATGACTTTATACTCAACGTACATATACAACAGATAATCGCTTTATTCGTAATTATCCTTCACGCGATTCCTAAGAAAATTACATTTTCGGTTGTTTATTTAATTTCTACACTTGCATTTAGCTGTATTGGAACAAGAATAATCTGGGAGGCTCTGCCGGTCCCAGAACGCTCTCGCTAGGGCCAACCACTCCACAATTTGCGCATCGAGACCGATGGCTACATTTAATAGAAACAATATCTAACTATTAAATAGAAAGCACGAACGTCTATTATAGGGACAATTTCCTTTAGCCAATGCTCGAGTGAGAGATAGGAAAAATAATGATTTAAGTATTCAAAAGTACAGGATTCGCAGCCCTATTGCGTAGATATCACAGGAAAAAGCCGTGGTTTGGAAGGGGTAAGGCAGGGTGGGAGACGACAGAAGCGGAGACGCGACCACTCGACGCCCGCTCCCAGATCGATGCTCTTTGCGAGTATTATAAACAGCGACCGTGCTGCCCTCTCGTTTCGACAAAGAAAAAATCTACTAGGAAACGTAAAGGCTGTACTAAAGCCCACTCTGTTGTTTTGACTCATAATTAAGTTTTGGGATTCACCGCGACGAACAAATTGTACTGTAATAACAGACAAGTAATCAATTACAGACGAGTGTCCTGTCCGACCCGACCTACTTTATAGATTCCCCGACTTTTGAACCCAGGCCCTCGTGATTAACGCAATGCTCGCGTTTAATCATTAAGCTGATTGGGCGATAGTAAATTCTTTAAGTAAGGTAAGTTAAAAAAAAACTTGTATATTTGTTGCAAAGATAAAGTCATCAATCCATACACACTTAAAGATAATGAAATAATAAACCTTTTAGTTCTTCGTTCTTTTTAAATTGAAACTAAAATAAATACACGGTAAAAAAGGCACACTGGGGTAAAATGCATAAGCTCAATTAGATAATCAGTATGCATACACATCATGTATATTAACCACCTTATCACAATGTTTTTTACTTTCAAAAGCATCACTTATACAAATTCGTAGCATACGAGTCCAGCTAAAGTAGCCTTACAATATATACGTGATAGAATGAAACTACACTGTGGCCCTACAGGTTGGAGACGTAGTGCCACTTGTCCACTTGCGGGGGGATGGGCGCGGGCAGCGAAGCGGGAGGCGCGGCGGCGATCGTGGCTGCGGCGCTCGAGCGCTCGACGCGGTGCGGGCTTCCCTCGACGGTGACGTTGGTCTTGCTGATGTCGTCCGCTCCGCTCACGGCGCCCGACACGAGGCCGCGCCAGAACTCATGCGTCTCGTCGATTACCTTGTGCGCGAAGGCGGCGTCCTTGGGCTCGGCGTCAAAAGCGAATTTATTAACGGGCTTGCCGTCGGGTACTTTGTACAGGCGGAACCACTCGACGGTTGCGCGCAGCAGGCCAGGGAACACGCGCTCCACGTCAGCCACGTCTTCCAGTCGGTCGGCGTTGGGGTCGCGCGCGTCCACCGCGATCAGCTTCCAGTCGGTCTCGCCCTCGTCGATGAGCGCGAGCGTGCCGAGGATCTTGACGGGGACGACGTCGCCCCGCGCCGCGACGCGCTCGCCGATCTCGATCACGTCGATGGGGTCATTGTCGCCGCGCGCCTGCGTCCCAGGGTCCACGTGGTGCGGATTCTCCCACGTCTGGGGTAGCGCGCCGTAGTTCCAGATGTAGCCATGGTGTGGGAACACATTGGACACGAAACGCAGCGCGCCCTTCTTCACGTCCTGGCGTATCGGGTTGAGCGGTTCGCTTAGACTGATTTCCATTTTAGCATTGCTCCAACGGGGCACCTCTACGACCATGTTCGCGAGGCGCTTACTCGCATCAGCCCACAGCGGGATGTCGTGTAGAGGAGAAATTGGTCCACTTTCATCCTCTGGAAATACAATTGATAATAGGCTCGATAAGATATAATAATATGAAAAAGGAATTTGAATAAATCTTGTTTTTAGAGATTGTATTTTTCTTTTTTTATTATTTATTTTATTTTATTTGGAAAAGAAACAAACAGTCACTTAGAAAACAATGGATTACTTAAAACGTTAAACAAATAGACCTAAAGTTTCACTTAATTATATATAAGTACGTGACGTAAATACAACAGATACACAGTAAAAGAAAATATCTAAAAAGTAATAACAATAATTTTGTAACTACGACTTAAGTATTAATTTAGATATATTTACAAATACAAGTTTTGTATTTAAAGATACCACTAGAAAAAATATCGACTGAATTCAAATTCTTATTATAAAAATCACAGCTTCTTATAATGAAACTATTTTTCACGTAGTTAGTGCTCGCTGTGGGAATGTGAAACGTCTCCTTGATGCGGGAAGAGCGGGGGACTTTAAAACCGATTTGCTCGAGAATAGGTATAGAGTCTATACTGCTATGTATTAGTTTGTACAGACAAAAGGCATCTAAATAGTGACGGCGTGACCTTAGTGACTTGATGTTGTGTCCGTTGGAACTCAATTCATAATTCACGAAATTCGAACCTGATTTATAATCTAACGATTTTAACAATTTGTTTTGAACTTTTTCAATTCTATTAATATGATTATTATATTGGGGACTCCAAATTACACTACAAAATTCTAATAAACTACGTACATATGCGTTAAATAGTATTTTTAAGGTTGTAGTCTTTTTAAAAGGCTTGGAAATTCTTAATATGAAACCCAATATTTTAAAAGCTCTAGACATTATATTATCAATGTGAACATTGAATCGTAGCTTAGAATCAAGAGTGACTCCAAGATCTCTAATAGAAGTTACTCGACTTAAGGTCCTCTCAAGTAATTTATAGTCATATTTTAAAGGGTTATTTTTGCGACAAAAGGTATTACACTTTTTTACATTAAGAAATAATTGATTTTCATAACAATACTTTTCAAAAGACTGAAGATCACTCTGAACGTCAACACAGTCGTTAATTGAATTTATGACTTTAAATATTTTAGTGTCATCTGCATAAAGCTTGTGTTTGCTGAACAAGTGTGAAGGGCAAAAATATACATTGTGAATAGCAAGGGCCCCAAATGGAGTCTTTGAGGAACCTGGAATGGTATCCTTTCAGAGCAACAGCCTGACTACGGTTATTAATATTATAAATACCTACTTCAAAGAGAATTCATATTTTTAAGCATTTATAGTTATTGTTTTATATAATCTCTTGATTTTGTTCATGTGTTTTATTTAATACTGATCCCAGTGCAAGTCTGTAAATATATTTGGTGGAGATCTATTTTTTTTTAATAATTGCACAGTGAAACCTAATTATGTATAAAATAAGTAATTTATTCTGAATTGGTTTATCACTTTTGTATGAAAATCTTGCATTTCTATGTAATATCATAATAATAAAATCCATAAAAGGAACCATAGAAGAAAGATTCAAGTGTATAGATTCAAGTATTTACTTAGACTCCAACTTCGACTGATTTAAATTTTACAAATAAATTAGAAACTAACAAACCATTCATACTTCCATACTGTAATGATAAATTTTATCTTATTAATCTAGCAAACTTATCAACAAATTGTGTATAAATTCAATTACTGATATGACATACTTGTCATTAATTCAATATTTTATGATATATGCAACTTTATAATATTTGTACATATTAACTGTAATGTGTTCAGATCAAAGTTAAACATTACAGATGTACAATATTATGTTAACAGGCCAATATTATATTAGATGTTGATATCAACCATGTAAGCAAACATCTTTAACAATACTAATACACACTTCAAAAAGGTTACGAGTTATCTACTTCATATTAGTAAATTTCACTATAAAAACACTTGCCTTTCTCAGCTATTCACCTGTCATATTTGTTCTGTTATTGATTTGTCCATAAAAATATCTTAAATAATGAACGATCGTTGATTAAGATAACCTAAGACACTTCTAATAAATATCAGTATAGACTGGCTAAGTAATCGCTATCGACGATTTCACCCGGATATCGCGAGATAGCATCGACAGAGGGAGGACGAAGGTCATAAATGTGAGAGAAACACTTACTAAAGTATACCCTGAAGTCGGGCGAGTACGCAGAACCTCTTTCTTCGGCGATAAACATTTTCGTGTGGGTTCGACTTGCAATAGCAGCTGTCGAATTGCAGCTAATCGCAATCGTGGACCTCTTCACCGGCGAACACAGCTGTTTCACAAGTGACAAACTCCGAAAAATCGACAACGAAACGCGTGTCGCTGACATTATGTGATCTGTCAAGTGAAAAAGAATCTAACGTCATCTTCTCACGCTTAAGTAGGACAACCACAGACTGCTTTTCGTTTATGTACGCTTGTTTATGTTTTACGTAGTGCGAACTGCACACAACTATGTAATTAAATATTTCAACAGGTATAACAGAATGATCAATATTATGATAGTTTACACTTAATGAGATGTAAGGCTTATAAAATAAAGATTTAAAAAAATAAAGTTTACACTTTGTTAATTAATTACGACTACTTACCTCACTTATTCCGTTATGTGGAAAATGCAATTATGAGGTACACAATAATTCTTATTACAAACTATCAAGCAACGCTTACTTGCAGGATGATAAAATTATACTTAATATTTGCATAAATATGCCATTACAAGTAGCACCCAAACTCGAGTCAGTTTATTAAGATTTGATTTAAATTAAAAGAAAGTTGAATGACTAGGTCGTTTTGACTGAGAATAAAACTGTTTTCAGTTAAATTATTTAAATGAAACAAAGTTTTTAGTTTAATAAAATAGTTAAGAAGTATCAATCCAGACAAAGACTCGGACAGTACTGCCTCAAAAATTTGTTTGTCTATCTCGTCTTGTAGCTTCAATTGATTACTCTTGACAAGTGAAGTGAGTCCTTATAATAAGTACCTCTTATATGAGCATAACATTTAGAACTAGAATTGTTTAAGACTTTCCCAACTGTATTTTTGCTAGAATAGTTTACCCAGGCGATTTTAGTTCTTTAGTAATGACATTATGTTATGATATGATGAAAGCATAAATGTTTATTTAATTTGTTACTCTCACATTGCTATCTACTACAAGGAGCTGTAATTACATAGTACTTGATGTTCTTAATGGGGTGGCAATTTTAGCAGCATTAAGTAGCATGCAGTGAGTAAGGCTTTTTACATTATTTATATTACAATGTGGCTGTAAGCAAACTGAAAGGTTTGAAGGGGACATGGAGAAAGTTGAATATCCCAAAAAACCTCTCCGCAATGAGGAAATGGGGAAGTGGGTGAAATGGTCAGCTGACTGTGTGGACTGATGACCCGGCCTTCTACAGATGTCCCCGATAGAAAATAATAATGTGGCCTGAAAGGTTTAGAGCATATTTAATTATAATCGAAATATCACATTTAGGAAATACATATATTGAAAAGACATTATGAATAACTATGTAGTTTGATATTCAATGGTTTATATATTGTTCAAAGTGACCCTTTGCATGGTTAAATCTTAATTGCATAATGATCATTAGTGGTGACATCAGTCAATTGAATCATGGGTATTTGGAGGTGCTAGATCCCAACATAACTATTTCACACGGCGACGTCCAGGGCACAGCTGGTACAATATATATATCTCCAAGAATAGTATCATTACTGAACATTGCAGACGTTATCGGAAAAACGAAATTTGTTATCCTTTCATAAATAGTTGGCTTACTGACTTTATCGTAATTTAAAACCAGTTCCAGTAGTCACTTTCTATCATCTCTGAATGTTAAATGTGCCATTAAGTCACTATTTTCTTGACGTATCGCATGGTATAAGTACGCAATATCTGATTTTTCTTGTAAACTCTTAATGATCAATTAATCTTTATTTATTCAACAGTTCTTAGAAGTCACGGCTTCTTTAACAAGCACATACATTTTCAAATTGATCGATCATGATAAATTTGGGTTTGTTGTGTCGTCATTTTTTGACAAAATTGTTTTGCAACTGGCTTGATACTAGTTGAAATCGAATACCTTATTCCATTAAGATAAACACATTTTGTAGATGTAAGGCTGTGTGATAATTTCAATCATGATTTCATTTGTTTAATATATATATTCTTAGTTTTCCCAATGCAGATTTATCTGTTTTTGCATTAGAGATTTTCTAAATATATTTTTCTTGAGTTCATTGCTATTTCTTTACTGTTACCTTCTGGTGATTTAACATTAGTAGTGTTAAAAGGTAATTTTACTACAAATCTGCCATCTTTAGACACTAGAAGTCCTCAGGCACACGCCTTACTGGAATAGATTTACATGAAAAATTATTTGTGAAGTCTTTGAATATGCACTCTGTTTAATTGGGTAAGTTAAATTAAGTGTTGCAAGGAGAACAAATTGTGAATTGTACAAAACTATTTAGTTTAGTTGATCACCTGGTCTTCTATCTGTGTCCCGAAAGGTAATTAATATTTATTATTATTAATTGAATTTGCTCTTTTACAGTAATAACTAATAAAGTAAAATTATAGGCACTAATCCAATATGTAATAAAGGAGGATTGAGTACAAGTGTCTGTAAGAGCATGCAAAATAATATTATGTCTATTAACTCTACTTTTAACATGTACTAAAGCAGATATCAATACTTGAACTGATGGGACATGCTATCCTCTCTTTTACTAATCAATCACTTTTGTCACTATTCTTGAATTTGAACTATTATGATGTAAATGTCTATTATTGCAAAACCGACGTGACCTGGAAACAAACAATTACCATATATTACTCAAAACTTTACAGTGAAACAAAGTATGCTGATAATTACATAATGTACAAATATTTTTTAATAAAGAACGAAATGATTTTGAATCTTGTTTATCTTTACTTAAATTATTAGTAGGTTTCATGAACTATAGGAGCAGAATTTTGTAGAAAAAACTTTTAAATCTTGTCAAATATGAGAATCTAAATTGGTATTTTTAAAGATCTTTAAAGAAAACCTTCCACTTGTGGGACTCCATCTCAATTTTTTCAATGACCAAGTACATAATTATAGGATCCAATGAATCAAAGTTGACATATAAGAAATTAAGGTATTTAAATGTATTAATGTGGAGAGAATTATGTAAATGTATCTTTTTGAAGTTAAATAATTCCTAGAATATGGTAAATGGATGACATTCTTCTCTTTCTTCAGACCAGGTGTTTAGTTTGATGTGACATCACTAACCTTGGTTGTGTATATGTTGCGAGCTTTTATATTTAATAGTGTTCAATTTATTTTACTTCATTTTTTACTCTAGTTCCTCGGAACAAACAGCTCTTGTTGCCCAAACGGGGCTCCCCCGTATTTCTCATTTCCCAAATAATATTTTTTCGCATAATACAACAGAAACTAAATACATTTGTTTTAACATCTCTAAGGCAACTGTCCCAAAACCAGTCCCCCTTAAAAGAATGGAATTCTTGTCTTGACCCTTTTGACCTGCCAATGTCCAACTCTAGAATCAACTGATTCTATTAAATACCTCACATTATCTATGCGCTCGTGTTCGAAATCTTTCAAGCACCTTTAAACGCCTCGGTAAGTCGGCAGATTCTAATACTATTAGGTAGTCTACATAGCTGTATGGCAATCTGTGCTATCTTATTGCATTTCCATATGGGGCGGTGCGGTATTCGTTTTTATGCTCAAAATAGAACGGACACAGTGGCCATCCTAAAAACATTGTGTGCATTTAATTTCATTTTATGTACTCTTTTGTAAGTAAAACTTTCGGTGTCAGTTCATATACCTACCTATTGTATTTTAGGTTCTGGGGGCCCGTGTCTTGTTGTATTTGGCTCGATTGCGACCAAAATAATGTTTGGTAATTTACTTGCGCAGATTGTATTTTTGTCCACTTGAATAGATATAACTTGTTTTAATATTACATTTTTAAACACTATACAAACTTCATGCAAGACATTTTTATCGGTAGACATAAGATTTTCACTTTTCAGACTTCAGAGGGAATAGTATTCCATAGCATTTTGGTATTCCCGGAATACCAAAAAATGCTGTCATAACCAAGTATAGATTATAAACAAAGCTATGGCACATAATCATAGTTCAAGTTAAAACTATGAGGTGGCAGTATATTAAATAAGGAACAAAAAAGTTCAGATTAATCACAAAAAGGTTCTATAACTTTTTAATGATCGTTATGTAGTCCTGCAATAAAACCTGTTGTTTTTTTTGTTTTGTAGGGCATGGAGTTCTTTTGATGGACAGAGTAATACCCCAGGCAGGTGACATCTTAACAAGATACGGTAGTCGGTACAGTCGGTAGTCCACCAAATCGAATCGCGCTTTGTCATCAGTGAAATGTATATTTTGTAGACTTGCAACGAATATTCGGTTACTATTGGTATTGGCCTATTCGGCTGCTTTTATTATATTCGTCGAATACCGAATATCTACATATTATTCGCCGAATAAGAATACTTAAATAATATATTTTGTCATAGAAAATAATTGGTAAAATGAAAAATTAAAATCATTGCTTACGTATATATACATATTTTTATTTTGTTATAATATATAAGTAGTAATTGTACATAATAATAACGAGTACGTTAGAACAAAACAAAGGAGCGCGAAACAATTACGTCTGTACAAGTTTTTGGAGCAAAAATCCAGCCGAATACTTTTGTAATATTGACTATTGGTCAGGGGTCTCGCCGAATATTTATTGGTATACTGCGAATATACTATTCTGAAGTAATATTTTGATATTCCTACCATCCATATCCTGATTCATCATATTCTGATTTTCCAGACAAAAGTCTAAAGTCGTTGGTCAGACAGATAGTTTATAATGAAGTTGTATGGTATTCAAGAAAATATTAGCAAATCAATATAACTCGACATACATACATGCGGTTGTATAGTTTTTTATGTTAGGTTACGTCACAGAATTGTGATTACCGTTACATTTATTTGTATTTTTGTCCAGTATTGCTATCGTTGATATTATATTGTGGTAGGTAAAGCCTATTATACATTATATACTTAGAACTACGTTACTTAAAATAAATTACAAAAATAGTAAATTTTTGTAATTTATTTTAAGTATAAATAAAATAAAAAAAATAAAAATAGTAAAATTTTGTAATTTTTTTTTAAGTAACGTAGTAGGTACCTACATAGTTATTAAAAAACATAATGTTGTTTTCATTATTATTTTTATTGTTTTAATGTTATTATAGTTATATGAAGACGTTTTAAAACTTAAGTAACACATTTAGAGGGTTTAAAACGCAAAACATATTAGAAAAAATATTTTAACTAATGCTTTGCAGTAGCTATGGTCACGGAGGAACTGAAGATCAAGGGTATTCCTAATGCCAATAATGCTAAATGGTGCTACCGTAGCCGATTTGACTTTGACACGAGGGACACCGTCCGTCTTCAGTTCATCCGGTGACCACGGTGCTGTAAAGAATTTGAAACGTCGTGCCGTAGTTAAAATAAATTGTAATAAGTTAATTAATATATTTCGCGTTTTAAACCGTTTAAGTGTCTTATTTAAACGTCTAATATTACAGAGTAAAACAAAGACATGGCCGCTTACGTTGGAACGAGGTTCTTATCGGTAGTGTTCTTGATTGAGCCCACGGAAGTACAGCTTGGTCCGGCTAAGCTGTTTACCTGACGCGCTTGTGGTGGACGTGGAGGAGGCTGGCGGTAGCGGGGCGGTGCTGAGGTTGGTCAAGGGGATGCCACCCGCCGAATTAGATGAGGAACTAGACGCGGAGTAGAACCGCCCGTCATTCCGATACCACATTACTGTAACATCAAGAATCCCGAATTACGCTTAGCATTATCCCAGTCCCGGTCCAGTCCAATTACTTAATAAAGGCTTCTTTTATTCACAAGGTAGTTGTGACAATACAAATACACAAATTGCCATTCATATGATATATTCTGACTGATACGCTTATAATATAGTGGCGAAAATATAGTATTATATAATAGCAAAGATTACTCGCGTGTCAGCGGTTAAATTAAGAAACTGTCAAGGATCGACACTCCTTTAGATGTAAGTAGACTAATGTAAATCATACATGAAAGTTTCCGCTTTTAGATCCAGTTTTTTATTTATTTCTGCATCTAGAAGCGACAAAATTTATTTATATTAATATGTTTAAATACAAAAAAAAAACGTTGATGAGGGTTGAAAAAGGGAATAAAAGTTTGTAAAGTTGTGGTTTTTGAAGCTAGAACAATGAAACGTTCTTCTTTGGCTTTTTAGGAATAGGAACAGCAGTGGGAGTGGGAGTGTAGCGGCAGAGTTGCACTTACAACATAGATTAGCTGCCTTAAATGCGCCCTTATATAAATTAATAAACAGCCTGAATAATTAAAAATTTTGCCCCAAATCACTATTACACGCGGACCAAGTCGCCGGCACAGCTAGTTATTCTATAAGCAAAGTGCATAATGTAGCTTTATACAGCTTATATTTTTGTAGTGAGTGTTAGTAACACGTAACTCGTTGTTTTGTGTGAGATAAGAGACTATATTGAAATCAGCTGTTTCGTGTTTGACAACAAGTGCCTTTGGTTGATGTGTACTACCCGTATTGTTGGTATCGGAGAGGAAAAAGGTTTATAGCAAGAGAAACAGTTTGGACATAAATTATCTTGGCGTTCGAGTGAAATCCGCAAAAAATCACTAAAGATAGTGCAAGTGTTTGGGCAACTTTCTTAAGCAAAGTTAAAATCTAACAAAAAGTGTATAATAGCGCCATCTGGTGATTTACTTTTGAATTTGAATACGAATTATAGTGAAATGCCCAATCCATCAAGACAAAGGAACTATGTGTGCGAAGTTCTTTGCTATTGCTCCAGATGGCGTTCGATGCATAACGATCCGTTTTGTTGGTATCGGAGAGGAAAAAGGTTTATAGCAAGAGAAACAGTTTGGACATAAATTATCTTGGCGTTCGAGTTAAATCCGCAAAAAATCAATAAAAATAATGCAAGTGTTTGGGCAACATTCTTAAGCAAAGTTAAAAATAAATTAAAAATAAACTTAAATTAAAAAAAATTAAAAAAATTAAAAAAATTAAAAATAAACTTAAGCAAATATATATTCTTATAGCCACTAAAACCGTGTACCCTTTTTATTTTATTAATAGTATTAGATTATACGAACAAGTAAACTTCTACAACACTCTATACTATAATCGGAAGATTAAATTCCCCCGAAATTTGCTTACGATCCGTACCTGTATCGCACTCACACTAACGCATTCCTTTACTTATTACCACTAGCAGTCTCTCATATAATCTTGAAGTATAAATCCGTAAAGTAGCTAAAGGTTTCCAACGGTTCTCTGTTTAAAACGGTTTAAATTCAACAAAATATACCAAGAGCGAAACTTTTATAATATAAAATAATAATATAATATATTCATTTAACAACCGTACTTGAACAAATTATCTCTAGTAAACAAACATACAAAACAATATTTTTTCTTAAAAACTACAACATAGCATAACTTCCTTTGTAATTAATTTAGATTAATAGTGCCTGGGCTCGTCGTGGTCGCCATTGGACGAGCTATACGTTCGTGCAATAAAAATTTTTCCCCCCCGCAAAAGTGAAACCCTCACCCCCTCAGAACCGCAAACCACCCCCGTAGTCATAACACCCCCGAGTTTGGGCTTAAACTGCTCGTATTTAAGAGAGGAATACTTTGGCTCCTCTAGTTTCCCCCTCCCCCACTTTTTCAAAAAAAATTTTTCATAATTCTTTAATTTTAGTAAATTACGTCCTAGACTTATCGTGTTTGGGCTCGTTAAACTTGTTTTGACGAGAGGAACTCAATTACCTAAATAAATTACCCCCCCAACCCCCCCCCCCCCCATTTTTCGAAAATAAAATTTTCTTCAGTTCAAATTTAAATTTAAAAAATGGTTTTCGGCCACCGCACGCCCACTAAACGACAACTTCCAGTAAATAATAATATACCTGACAATACACCCGACAGTAACGCAACAGACGAAATACTTACAATGACAGAAAAACAGTGCACCGCAGGGCTGGAACCACCCGTCGCTAGCTTCTTTTCCCTTTCACCGTCGACATCAGCTGACACGGCCTCCTCTAATACAGGCACTGACGGTACCGAAAAACGAACTACGCCTATATCGGACACATCTGATTCTGAGGCTGTATTCGGGAAGACCTATAAGTCTAGAGAGACCGAAATTAGAGGCATCTTCCAGAAAATAAATATCAAACTAGACAGTGCAAAGAATTTAAGAACTGACATAAAGGTAGAAGTGAAGGCAGCAACCAAGAGACTCCAGGAAATAGTGAAGGACCTACTGAACGAAAGAAAGGATCAAACAAAGGATTATCCGAACCCCACTAGAAGGAAAGAAGAAGAAGAAAAGAAAGAAAAAGCAAAAGAACAAACAGAGATAGAAGGTAAAGAAGTAAGAAATATAATAAATAAAATAGAGGAACAGAAGAAGCTAATAGAAGAAGGAAATAGAGAGATTCAAGAAATAAAGAAGATAATCAAGGAACAGAGGAAGGAAGAGGAAACCACCAGAAGAGAATTAAAGGAAAGCATTGAAGAAAGCAGTAGAGTAACAAGCGAACTGAGATCCTATGCTAGCGTAGTGGCAACAGGAATCAGACCTGGAGATAGAGAACGTGCACCATCACAAAATAACCAGGCAGCAGCTAAACACGCTATTATAATCACCTCAAATGGAACGGAAACAAGTGGAGAGATAATAGAAAGGATAAGGACAACAGTAAATGCAAAGACTACAGGAGTAAGAGTGGACAGGATAAGAAAGGCAAGAGACCAGAAAGTAGTTCTAGGGTGCGAAACAGAGGAGGAACTGGAAAAGGTAAAGGAGAGACTAAAACTCGATAGTAAACTACGAGTGGAAAAGGCGGTGAACAAGGATCCTCTAGTTATTCTAAGGGATGTACTATGCGTAAACACGGATGAGGAGATTATAACAGCGTTAAAACTACAAAATAAGAACCTTATGAGCGAAATGGAAAAAGAGGAAGAAGAAAGGATTAGTATAAGGTACAGAAGAAAAACAAGGAACCCACATACCAATCATGTTATCCTACAAGTTCCACCAAAACTGTGGCAAAGGATGGTCGACATAGGAAAGGTCCACATAGACCTACAAAAGATAAACGTCACGGATCAAACACCCCTCGTACAGTGTTCGAAATGCTTAGGTTATGGGCATGGAAGAAAGCTCTGCAAGGAAGGAGCGGAAGTATGCTCCCACTGCGGTGGGTCCCACAAAAAAGAAAGTTGCCCGGAGTACCAAAATGGCATAAAGCCATCCTGCGTAAACTGCACACGGGCAAATCTCGACAGGACCGACCACAATGCCTTCGATCAGGGTTGCCCGATAAGGTGCAGATGGGACGAACTGGCGAGAGCCTCAGTAGCGTACTGCTAAGGTTCTCTCTAAAGTTATAACGGACGACCGCATCGAGCAGCACCTGATCATACAAGCAAATCTGCAGAGAAAGGACGCCGCAACCAGCGAACTAATCATGGAGGGCCAGAGGAGAAGGGCTACGGCGGCGCTGGTTCAAGAGCCTTACATTGGAAAGGAAGGTAGAATGAAGGCGTACAGGGGGACCAGAATATTCCAGTGCGCGGGGAAAACCGAGAAGGTCGTCAAAGCAGCAATCGTGCTGTTTGACACAAACACCGACGCAACACTGTGTCCTGACCTCACCACACCCAACATCGTCGTGGTAAAGGTGAAAACCGACGCACAGGATGTGTTCCTGGTCTCATTCTACTTCGAGCCCGCGCCAACGACAATAGATCCCTATCTCGACGAGCTGAGGAAGATAAGGCGAGCTGTAGGACCAAGAGTGGTATTCGCTGGAGACGCAAATGCCAAAAACAGTCTTTGGGGAGGAGAAATCACGGACAGGAGAGGGGAAGATCTGATGGCCACCTGCGCAGAGATGGGACTGTATGTGTTAAACGAGGGAACGACACCAACGTTCGACACATACAGAGGCGGAAGGAACTTCAGCAGCTTTGTCGATCTTACTTTCTGTACGGAAGATCTACTTGGATTCATCGATGGATGGGAGGTCGATGAAGGACTAACCAGTTCGGACCATAATGGTATAGTGTTCAAATTAAGGAAGACAAAACTGAAAGGGGTAGAAATAGAAAGAACAACGAGAATATACAACACGGGAAAGGCTCACTGGAGCAATTTTCGAGAAAAAATCAGCCAGATGCTAGATGAAAGTAATATTAACAAAGAAGAAATGGACAGGATAAGAACAGAAGAAGAAATAGACAGAACAGTACATAAATATATAGATATCATAAAACAAGCAAGTGACGAGAATATACCTAAAATAAGAAGTAAATCAACACTTACCATTTCATGGTGGACGGAGGAACTGGCATCTCTAAAGAAAGAACTTAGAACCAGGAAACGAAGAATCAGATGCGCAGCGCAAACCCGAAGAGCGGAGGTCGTAAATGAGTACCTGAAACTAAAAGAAAAATATGAGAAGGGAATAGAAGAAGCAAAGCTGGAAAGTTGGAAGGAATTCTGTGGGAAACAAAGCAGGGAAGGAATGTGGGAGGGAATATATAGGGTTATAAACAGAACAACAATAAGGAGGGAAGATATGCCTATGGTGAGAGAAGGGAGGGTGCTGGAAATGGAAGAATCCGCTGAATATCTTGTGCAAACTTTCTTTCCCGACGATGTCAAAGAGGACGACAGTGAGGTGCACAGGGACATCAGGGCCAAAGCGGAAACAATAAACGAGAGAGCAGAAGACACAAACGACCCCCCTTTCACAGAGGGAGAGCTCAAGCTGGTCCTGGAGTCCTTTAATCCAAAGAAAGCCCCAGGCCTAGATGGCCTGACCTTCGATATTTGCCGGGCAGCCATCTTTGTCGCTCCGCATATATTTCTGGCACTCATCAATAAATGTTTGGAAATCGGATTCTTTCCCACCATCTGGAAGGAAGCCACAGTGGTAGTGCTTCGAAAGCCTGGTAGGGCAGACTATACGACGCCGAAGTCCTACAGACCTATCGGTTTGCTTCCAGTGATGGGGAAAATAATGGAGAAAATGTTCGTGAAAAGGGCAAACTGGTACATTATGCCAAGGATGAGTGCCAGACAGTACGGATTTATGCCACAGCGAGGTACCGAGGACGCCCTCTTTGACTTGCTGAGACACATCAGAGGAAAACTGAATGAAAAGAAAATTGCAGTAATGGTCTCGCTAGACATAGAGGGCGCCTTCGACAGCGCGTGGTGGCCTGCAATCAGATGTAGGTTGGCGGAAGTAGGATGCCCGGTAAACGTAAGGAAAGTGTTCGACAGCTATCTGAGAGACAGGAAGGTTAGGCTGCGATATGGGGGAAGGGAAGTGGAGAAGGCTAACACGAAAGGATGCATACAAGGATCTATAGGGGGACCAATATTGTGGAACCTTTTGTTGGATCCCCTACTGGAAGGCTTGGAAAGAAAGGGCGTCTGCTGCCAAGCGTTCGCGGATGACGTTGTCCTGGTTTTTGACGGCCATACCGCGGGCGAGATCGAGAGGCAGGCAAACACAACCCTAGCCTATGTTCAGGAGTGGGGTGTCTTAAACAAGCTAAAATTCGCGCCGCACAAAACCAAAGCCATGGTTATAACGCGGAAGCTAAAGCATGACGCCCCACGACTGAGCATGGGCGGGACAAGAATTGATGTGGTGAAGGAGGTGAAACTCCTCGGACTGATAATAGACGAGAGTCTCACCTTCAACACGCACGTCAAGACTGTATGTGCGAAGGCCTACCAGATCTACAGGCAGCTGGCCAGGGCCGCGAAGATAGGTTGGGGCCTGGACACGACAATCATCAGGACGATCTACACTGCGGTGATAGAGCCAATCCTGATGTATGCCGCGAGCGCCTGGGAGCAGGCAGCGAGAAAGAAGTGTGTGAAAGTCCAATTAGACCGGATACAGAGGCTCTTTCTACAAAAAATCTGTAAAGCATACAGAACTGTCTCGCTGCACTCGGGATTAGTCCTCACTGGGTTACTTCCACTAAACTTGAGGATTGAGGAAGCGGGAGTTCTGTACAAAATAAAGAGGGGCTTGCATCCCCTCCCAGAGCTAGACGCAGAACCAGAGGGCAGATCGGACGCGTTGGAAGTACCACACCCTGCGGATGAGCCCCTGTTGACATTCACGACGTATGACTCCGACTTAAACATAGAGAGACAGACAGACGTGACAAATATCTTCACTGACGGTAGTAAATCTGATGATGGGGTGGGTGCGGCAGTCGTTATTTACAGAAGTAGGACAGACGAAAAATCAGTGAAAATAAAATTAGCGTCTTACTGTAGTGTCTTTCAGGCCGAGATGGTGGCGCTGCACAGAGCATTTGAGCTAGCGGAGAAGGAAAAGAGCCCGACAATAAATGTCTGTAGCGACTCCAGATCGGCACTGGAGGACATTACAAGCGGCCGTTCTCTCAATCCCCTCACCAGTCAAATAAGGCGTAAAATTAATAAAATACGTCAATTAAAAACTATAAATCTCTTTTGGATAAAGGCTCACGCTGGACACGAGGGGAATGAGAGGGCGGACCTGCTAGCGAAGGAAGCCGCCCAAAACAATAAAAAGAAGCCAGACTACGACCTTTGCCCAATCTCTACAATAAAAAGACTAATTAGGACAGAAACGGTGCAGCGTTGGGAGGAGGATTACCAAAACGGAGGAACAGCCTCAACAACGAAAATCTTCCTCCCAACAGCTGCAGCCGCTTTTAGGGTCATAAAGAGGGTGGGATTGGACGGCGAAGCAACACAGGCTCTAACGGGGCATGGTGGTTTCGCCGCATATCTCCACAGGTTCAAACGTAAGGATAGCCCCGTTTGCGCCTGTGGAGACGAGGATGAGACGGTGCCCCATTTGCTGATTCGCTGCCCAATCCACGCTCTCGAAAGACACAAACTGGAAAACCGACTTGACATTGACTTGACAGAAAGTAACTTAAAAATAATCATGATGGACGACGGGATGAGGCCTCCTTTGCTACAATTCTGTAAGCAAATAGTAAAAATAGCAAATAAACGGAATAAATAAAAAGGTTTTAGTATGTATAGATATAAGTGTGCAAAACTAGTATTAGTAAATAGTAATAAGTAAACTTAAAGTTGTTTGTATTGTATAGTATAAAATAAGAAATTTGTAAAGCAAACAGCGGAATAAATAAAGAATAGAAATATGTATATAAATTAATGTGGATATATGTGTGTGTGAAATAGTAGGAATAATAGTAATAAGAATTGTATTGTTATCTCTAGAATAAGAAATTTGTAAAGTAAAAATTGGAATAAATAAAGAATAGAAATATGTACGTAAAGTTGTAAGCAAATGTTTGATGTGTGTGAAATGTTTGTAAGCAGATGTTTTAATAAAGAAAATAAATAGCTTGTACAATTAGAATAAGAAATTTGAGAAAAAATATATTAATAAAGAAATGACTAGCCTGTAAGTTAGAATAAGAAACATATAAGAAAACACTTTAGAAAGAAAATCATTAGCTCGATATTCCACGGCCCGGAGATAACTTCGTCCGGGGGGTAGGCCTAGTAGGAAAAAAAAAAAAAAAAAAAAAAAAAAAACCTAACCTAACCTAACCTAACCTAACCTAACCTAACCTAACCTAACCTAACCTAACCTAACCTAACCTAACCTAACCTAACCTAACCTAACCTAACCTAACCTAACCTAACCTAACCTAACCTAACCTAACCTAACCTAACCTAACCTAACCTAACCTAACCTAACCTAACTCGACACGTCAATCATCAGGACCATCTATACTGCAGTTATAGAACCCGTCCTGATGTATGCCGCGGGAGCATGGGGGCAGGCCGTAAGTAAAAAGTGTGTAAGAGTCCAGTTTGAAAGAATTCAGAGAGTGTTTTTACAAAGGATATGTAAGGCGTACAGAACCGCATCGCTACACTCGGTTCAAATCCTCACGGGAATCCTTCCCATTAACCTGAGGATTGAGGAGGCGGCGGTTCTGTACAGGGTGAAAAGAGGTCTCAGCCCCCTTCCGTATCTCGACGCGGACATTGAGACCAGAGCCAGACCGAGCGAACTCCCACACCCTGCTGACGAGCCGCGTCTAGCCTTTGACCATTACAGCCCAGAGCTTGGACTTGACCAACAGGCAGACGCGACAAACATATACACCGACGGCAGTAAGACGGATGACGGGGTGGGCGCCGCAGTGGTAATGCGGAGACTCGACAAAGAACTCAAGACTGTCAAAATAAAACTGGCGACTTACTGTACGGTCTTCCAGGCCGAAATGGTGGCGCTGCATAAGGCTGTGCAACTGGCAACGAAAGTTGCCAGCCCAAAGGTAAACCTGTGCAGCGACTCCAGGTCGGCCTTGGATGACATAGTGAGCGGTCGCTCCCTCAGTCCCCTCGTTGTGCACATTAGAGAGACCCTTGGGAGCCTCTCCAACCACAAGGAGGTGAGGCTCTACTGGATTAAAGCACACGTGGGTCACGAGGGGAATGAGAGAGCCGACCAGCTCGCTAAGGAGGCCGCACATGACAAAAAGAGAAAACCCGACTATGACAGATGTCCAGTCTCAAAAATAAAAAGACTGTTGAGAACCGACTCGATTCGGCGGTGGGAGGAGGAATATGGAGTTGGAACAACGGCTTCTACGACCAGGTTCTTCCTCCCAACCGTCTTATCTGCCCTTAAGGCAATGAGAGAGGTGGGGCTGGACAGCGAGCTAACACAGGCCCTAACGGGCCATGGTGGGTTTGCCGCTTACCTCCACAGATTTAAATTAAAAGATGACCCTACTTGCATCTGTGGGGAAGGCGACGAAACTGTACTGCACCTGTTAGCCCGCTGTCCAGTTCACGCGCGGGATAGAGCGGAATTAGAAATGAGACTGGACATAAACTTGACTGAAAACAGCCTGTCGGAAATATTCTCCAGCAATAAAGCGAGGCCAAAATTAGTAAAATATATTAAGAAAATTGTGCGTAAGGCAAACGCCAGGAATAAATAAAATAAAGCAATGTATAGAAATAAGTATAGACATAAGACAAGAAAATGTAATATTAAAAAGCAATAAAAATATGAATTTAAGAATTAAGTATAGACTTAAGATAAACAAATGTATTATAAAGAACAAAACAAAATAAGGACATTAATAAAATAGACAGCTGTAAAGTTATTTAAACCCTGTATTAGAATTAAATGAAAATAAATAAAGAAACCAAGACAGATATTCCACGGCCCGGAGATAACTTCGTCCGGGGGGTAGGCTCAGTAGGTGAAAAAAAAAAAAAAAAAAAAAAAAAAAAAAAAACCTAACCTAACCTAACCTAACCTAACCTAACCTAACCTAACCTAACCTAACCTAACCTAACCTAACCTAACCTTACCTGTTTTCCCGATTACAGACACAGAATCAGATCTCGGAGGGGGAAGGGGGGAGGAAATCTATTGGAGCTAAAAGACTCGCCGTGCCGAGACGGATCTCCAGAGCCCAATCTTGACGACTTCGAAACAGGATCACCGGAGTTAGACCCAAAGGGGGTGAAGTAAAAAAAAAATTTGAGGTTAACTTTCGTGGGGAGGCGAATGGCGCTCAGAAAAAAATGTGTTGTTTTTAGAGGGGAAGGGGGTATCCCGAGCAATAGGGAAATAAATTTATTGTGGCTGAAATTATTATAGAAGTACTTATAATTTACTAAAATTTAAAAATGTTGGAAAAAAAATTGAAAAAGAGGGGGGAGGGGGAAACTAGAGGGGCCAAAATATTCCTTTAAGAGTAAAGACGAACAGTTTAAGCCCAAACTCGGGGTTGTTAGGACTAAGGGGGTTGTTTCCGGTTTTGAGGGGGTGAGGGGTTTCTTTTTTGCGGAAAGGGGGGGGATTTAATACACTTACGTAACCTAACCTTTTTTTTTTTTTTTTTTTACTTGGAGGAATCGACTCTTTACCGACGCCCCCGCCTGGCCACTTAAGTGGCGGGGGGAGTGTGGGGGTCGGCCAGCTTGACCACTACCCACTAAACCTCCAAGAGCCCACGGGAGACTTGCCGGACGCGAGCGAGCGGTTAGTTGCCCTTGACCCGCATGCCCGCGCCCGTGTGTCCTGCCGCGCGTGTTTCCCGCGCGCGGCTCGCCCTACGTGGCCGGTTGTTGGCCACGTCTCCTGGCTCGGTCCTAAGACCGAGGTCACGGCGGACGCCGGGCGTAATCGCGCCGGCGCCGCCCAAGTCTCCTCCGTCGGAGAGCGGGGGCGTCGGGAGCAATCTCCCTCGCCCTCTCCGCTTCCTCCTTTCGCGAGAGGACGTCGGCGCAGAAGGCCTTAAAGGCCTGCCACGGAGCGTCGTCCGCGCTCCTAACTATCCCTGCCACAATGGCGGGCAGGGATAGATCCGCGCCGAATGCTCCGGCCAGGGCAGTCCTCTGACTTGCCCAGGCCGGGCATGCCTCCAAGGTGTGTTGCGCCGTGTCTGAGGCGCATCCGCAGTGATGGCAGGAGTCTGTTTCCTCCCGCCGGATCCTGTGCAGGTATTTGCCGAAGCACCCGTGCCCCGACAAAATCTGCACCGCGTGATAGGACAAGGATCCCCACCGCTTCGTCCTCAGCCATTCGGGCAGGACGGGCGCGATCGCTTGAAGCGTATGCGCGCCTACCCGAGAGGTGGCAAGATGCTCTTGCCACCGCGCAACGACAACCCTTTGGCCGTCCTCCCTCCAATCCTTGAGGAGCTCGTAAGTGAGCTCCTCGCCTCGACTCCGGACTTCAGCCCGGCGCCAGTAAATGTCGGCTAAGGCAGCCGCCTCCAGGTGCCAGGGTGCGAGCCCGGCTATTGCGCACACCGCGTCATAGGACACGGTGCGGTACGCCCTCGCCACCCTGAGCGCCATCACCCGTTGCGACTGCCTCAGCAGCGCAAGGTTCTGCGCCGACAAATCCTGGGCCCATATGGGGCAGCCATAGAGCGCCTTGGAGCGCACAACGCCGGCGTACAAGCGGCGACACCCCTCGCTCGAGCCGCCAAGGTTCGGCATAATTCGGCACAAGGCCGATGCCGTGGCGGCGAGCTTCGGGGCAAGTGCCGCAAAGTGCGCCTTGAAGGACCACCGAGAGTCGAGAACCAACCCCAAATACTTTAGGGTGGACCCTATCTCGATGGCCTCTCCGCCGACGATGATCTGCGCCCCGCTCGGCGGCGCTCTCCTGGGACCGTGGAATGCGATCGCCTCTGATTTGTTCAGAGCGACTCGCAGGCCAATCCTCTGGATCCGCGCCACGACCTGTGCCACCCCGGCCGTGGCGCGAAGCTTGGCCTCGCGGAAGTTGTCGCCCCTCGCGACCACCAGGGTGTCATCCGCGTAACAGATGACGCTGACACCCGTGATCAGAGAGCAACGCAGGACCCCGTCATAACCGATGTTCCACAGGAGTGGACCTAACACCGACCCCTGCGGCACACCGCAGCTGACGGGGTGGGAACCCCATCCTTGTCTCCTGGGGAACGTGATGCGTCTTGCCGTGAGATACGACGCAATCACGTCGCGAAGATAGACAGGCACGCCATGGTAGCGAAGCCCATCCATAATCGCGTCCCAGGGCAGGGTGTTGAACGCGTTGGCAATGTCCAGCGACACCGCCAAAACAACCCCGCCCTCCGCCACAGTCCCGTCCGACACATCGCGTAATCTCGCGATCGCGTCGATTGTAGACCGCCCCTTTCGAAAGCCAAACTGGCAATCGGAAAGATCTGGCCCCTCCAGAGCCAAGTGCTGCTGGATGCGGGTCGCTATTATACGCTCGAAGAGCTTGCCCGCTTCGTCCAGCAGCACGATCGGCCGATACGCCGAAGGCGAGTCCGGCGGTTTGCCAGGCTTCTGGAGAAGAACCAGCCTTCCCTCCTTCCACAAGTCCGGAAAGACACGGTTCCGCAGACAAGCCGACAACAGCTTGCGGAACCGCTCGTCGAGGCCGAATTGCAAGGCAAGAGACAGAACTTTCCCGTGCACCCCATCAGGGCCGGGAGCCGTCCTCTTGCCTCGCGTCCTGTCCAAGGCCGAGCTGAGCTCGGCCGATGTCACGTCCGGTGCCCCCGCGTCCGGGGGTGTCGTCGACTGGGAGGGAAGCGAAGCATCCGCATGGGGAAACAAGGCCGACACGACTGAGTTCAGAAGTGCCGGCTCCATGCTGGATGTCAGGGGTGGGGCCCAGGGGCGCAGCTTGCTCATTACGAGCTTGTACGGCCGCCCCCATGGGTCTAGCTCCAAGGTGCTCAGGAGCTCCTCCCACGCCCTTTCCTTCGCCTCCGCGATCTTCATCCTCAGGGCCTTCTTTGCCTCCTGATAGAGGCAATAGAGGCGCCCTTCCTCTTCGGTGTTCCGCGAGGCACGCCGTCTCCTCCTGTACCTGGTGTACTGGCGTCGGGCCACCACACAAGTCGACCGAAGTGCGGCCAACTCCTCCGACCACCAGTACACCTGCCTACGCGGCGGAAGAGGTCGGGACCGAGCCATTGAAGCGTCACAGATACGCTCCAAGGCCGCCCCGAACCACTCCACCTCCTCCCTCACCGAAGAAGACTCCGGCTCTGGACACCAGGTGGCCACTATCGAGGCCACCTCCACCATCTCCCTGTCCAGAGACTTCAGGGCCCAACGAGGGCCCCTCTGCGCCGGAGGGGCGCCAGGCCCGATCGCCGTGGATTGAGAGGAGACACTGAACCGTATGTAACGGTGATCAGACAGCGTCTCCTCCCCGTCCAACACCTCCCAGTCGACGATGCGGCGCGCAAGCCCGGGGCTGGCAAAGGTAAGGTCCACTATGGACCCCCCCTGCATGCGGACGCACGTCTGCGTCGAGCCCCGGTTCACGAGCGCCAGGTTGTGCGCGGCCATCCACTCCACAAGGACGTCGCCACGAACATCCGAGGTTGGGGAACCCCACACTGCCGATTTGGCATTGAAGTCCCCCGCCACGACCACCTCATTCGGGCGACTCCACTGCACAAGGGCATCCACTTCCGCCAGGAACCCCTCGAACTCCGAGAGAGTCCTGTTGGGCGAGAAGTAGACCCCCACAACCGTGATGTGGCCGCACTTCACTGCAGCACAACCCTGGCCTCTCCGTGAAGAGACAATTGGGGGAGAGCCACCGGCTCCGGTGACGACAATGGCGACAGTTTCGCCAATGTCCCCGACCCAATTGTCCCCTTGCTGCACCGCGTATGGCTCCGCAATCACCGCGATGTTTATGGACCACTGCGCCAGGCCCTGGAATAGAAGATCCTGGGCCCTGGCGCAATGATTCAGGTTCGCCTGGAGGAACCGTAGGGCCATACTAGGCCCCTACGGTCTCGGCAACCTCCATCGCGGTCCCGCTCGGAGGGACGGCGGCCCGCTTCTCCGGGACTCTCCGCCGCATCTTTTTGGTGGGGGCCGAGCACTTGGCACCACCCACCCGATGGTTTGCCTCTTTGCCAGCCGCTGCGCAAACCGCGCAATGCGGGCTGGCCGAACACGAGGCCGCCAAGTGCCCAGGCTGACCGCACCTGTAGCAAAGACCGCTACGATCGCTCGCGCAATCGCAGCGGTCGCATCGTCGACTGGGAGGTGTTGGACGGGGAGGAGACGCTGTCTGATCACCGTTACATACGGTTCAGTGTCTCCTCTCAATCCACGGCGATCGGGCCTGGCGCCCCTCCGGCGCAGAGGGGCCCTCGTTGGGCCCTGAAGTCTCTGGACAGGGAGATGGTGGAGGTGGCCTCGATAGTGGCCACCTGGTGTCCAGAGCCGGAGTCTTCTTCGGTGAGGGAGGAGGTGGAGTGGTTCGGGGCGGCCTTGGAGCGTATCTGTGACGCTTCAATGGCTCGGTCCCGACCTCTTCCGCCGCGTAGGCAGGTGTACTGGTGGTCGGAGGAGTTGGCCGCACTTCGGTCGACTTGTGTGGTGGCCCGACGCCAGTACACCAGGTACAGGAGGAGACGGCGTGCCTCGCGGAACACCGAAGAGGAAGGGCGCCTCTATTGCCTCTATCAGGAGGCAAAGAAGGCCCTGAGGATGAAGATCGCGGAGGCGAAGGAAAGGGCGTGGGAGGAGCTCCTGAGCACCTTGGAGCTAGACCCATGGGGGCGGCCGTACAAGCTCGTAATGAGCAAGCTGCGCCCCTGGGCCCCACCCCTGACATCCAGCATGGAGCCGGCACTTCTGAACTCAGTCGTGTCGGCCTTGTTTCCCCATGCGGATGCTTCGCTTCCCTCCCAGTCGACGACACCCCCGGACGCGGGGGCACCGGACGTGACATCGGCCGAGCTCAGCTCGGCCTTGGACAGGACGCGAGGCAAGAGGACGGCTCCCGGCCCTGATGGGGTGCACGGGAAAGTTCTGTCTCTTGCCTTGCAATTCGGCCTCGACGAGCGGTTCCGCAAGCTGTTGTCGGCTTGTCTGCGGAACCGTGTCTTTCCGGACTTGTGGAAGGAGGGAAGGCTGGTTCTTCTCCAGAAGCCTGGCAAACCGCCGGACTCGCCTTCGGCGTATCGGCCGATCGTGCTGCTGGACGAAGCGGGCAAGCTCTTCGAGCGTATAATAGCGACCCGCATCCAGCAGCACTTGGCTCTGGAGGGGCCAGATCTTTCCGATTGCCAGTTTGGCTTTCGAAAGGGGCGGTCTACAATCGACGCGATCGCGAGATTACGCGATGTGTCGGACGGGACTGTGGCGGAGGGCGGGGTTGTTTTGGCGGTGTCGCTGGACATTGCCAACGCGTTCAACACCCTGCCCTGGGACGCGATTATGGATGGGCTTCGCTACCATGGCGTGCCTGTCTATCTTCGCGACGTGATTGCGTCGTATCTCACGGCAAGACGCATCACGTTCCCCAGGAGACAAGGATGGGGTTCCCACCCCGTCAGCTGCGGTGTGCCGCAGGGGTCGGTGTTAGGTCCACTCCTGTGGAACATCGGTTATGACGGGGTCCTGCGTTGCTCTCTGATCACGGGTGTCAGCGTCATCTGTTACGCGGATGACACCCTGGTGGTCGCGAGGGGCGACAACTTCCGCGAGGCCAAGCTTCGCGCCACGGCCGGGGTGGCACAGGTCGTGGCGCGGATCCAGAGGATTGGCCTGCGAGTCGCCCTGAACAAATCAGAGGCGATCGCATTCCACGGTCCCAGGAGAGCGCCGCCGAGCGGGGCGCAGATCATCGTCGGCGGAGAGGCCATCGAGATAGGGTCCACCCTAAAGTATTTGGGGTTGGTTCTCGACTCTCGGTGGTCCTTCAAGGCGCACTTTGCGGCACTTGCCCCGAAGCTCGCCGCCACGGCATCGGCCTTGTGCCGAATTATGCCGAACCTTGGCGGCTCGAGCGAGGGGTGTCGCCGCTTGTACGCCGGCGTTGTGCGCTCCAAGGCGCTCTATGGCTGCCCCATATGGGCCCAGGATTTGTCGGCGCAGAACCTTGCGCTGCTGAGGCAGTCGCAACGGGTGATGGCGCTCAGGGTGGCGAGGGCGTACCGCACCGTGTCCTATGACGCGGTGTGCGCAATAGCCGGGCTCGCACCCTGGCACCTGGAGGCGGCTGCCTTAGCCGACATTTACTGGCGCCGGGCTGAAGTCCGGAGTCGAGGCGAGGAGCTCACTTACGAGCTCCTCAAGGATTGGAGGGAGGACGGCCAAAGGGTTGTCGTTGCGCGGTGGCAAGAGCATCTTGCCACCTCTCGGGTAGGCGCGCATACGCTTCAAGCGATCGCGCCCGTCCTGCCCGAATGGCTGAGGACGAAGCGGTGGGGATCCTTGTCCTATCACGCGGTGCAGATTTTGTCGGGGCACGGGTGCTTCGGCAAATACCTGCACAGGATCCGGCGGGAGGAAACAGACTCCTGCCATCACTGCGGATGCGCCTCAGACACGGCGCAACACACCTTGGAGGCATGCCCGGCCTGGGCAAGTCAGAGGACTGCCCTGGCCGGAGCATTCGGCGCGGATCTATCCCTGCCCGCCATTGTGGCAGGGATAGTTAGGAGCGCGGACGACGCTCCGTGGCAGGCCTTTAAGGCCTTCTGCGCCGACGTCCTCTCGCGAAAGGAGGAAGCGGAGAGGGCGAGGGAGATTGCTCCCGACGCCCCCGCTCTCCGACGGAGGAGACTTGGGCGGCGCCGGCGCGATTACGCCCGGCGTCCGCCGTGACCTCGGTCTTAGGACCGAGCCAGGAGACGTGGCCAACAACCGGCCACGTAGGGCGAGCCGCGCGCGGGAAACACGCGCGGCAGGACACACGGGCGCGGGCATGCGGGTCAAGGGCAACTAACCGCTCGCTCGCGTCCGGCAAGTCTCCCGTGGGCTCTTGGAGGTTTAGTGGGTAGTGGTCAAGCTGGCCGACCCCCACACTCCCCCCGCCACTTAAGTGGCCAGGCGGGGGCGTCGGTAAAGAGTCGATTCCTCCAAGTAAAAAAAAAAAAAAAAAAAAGGTTAGGTTACGTAAGTGTATTAAATCCCCCCCCCTTTCCGCAAAAAGAAACCCCTCACCCCCTCAAAACCGGAAACAACCCCCTTAGTCCTAACAACCCCGAGTTTGGGCTTAAACTGTTCGTCTTTACTCTTAAAGGAATATTTTGGCCCCTCTAGTTTCCCCCTCCCCCCTCTTTTTCAATTTTTTTTCCAACATTTTTAAATTTTAGTAAATTATAAGTACTTCTATAATAATTTCAGCCACAATAAATTTATTTCCCTATTGCTCGGGATACCCCCTTCCCCTCTAAAAACAACACATTTTTTCTGAGCGCCATTCGCCTCCCCACGAAAGTTAACCTCAAATTTTTTTTTTTACTTCACCCCCTTTGGGTCTAACTCCGGTGATCCTGTTTCGAAGTCGTCAAGATTGGGCTCTGGAGATCCGTCTCGGCACGGCGAGTCTTTTAGCTCCAATAGATTTCCTCCCCCTTCCCCCTCCGAGATCTGATTCTGTGTCTGTAATCGGGAAAACAGGTAAGGTTAGGTTAGGTTAGGTTAGGTTAGGTTAGGTTAGGTTAGGTTAGGTTAGGTTAGGTTAGGTTAGGTTAGGTTTTTTTTTTTTTTTTTTTTTTTTTTTTTTTTTCACCTACTGAGCCTACCCCCCGGACGAAGTTATCTCCGGGCCGTGGAATATCTGTCTTGGTTTCTTTATTTATTTTCATTTAATTCTAATACAGGGTTTAAATAACTTTACAGCTGTCTATTTTATTAATGTCCTTATTTTGTTTTGTTCTTTATAATACATTTGTTTATCTTAAGTCTATACTTAATTCTTAAATTCATATTTTTATTGCTTTTTAATATTACATTTTCTTGTCTTATGTCTATACTTATTTCTATACATTGCTTTATTTTATTTATTCCTGGCGTTTGCCTTACGCACAATTTTCTTAATATATTTTACTAATTTTGGCCTCGCTTTATTGCTGGAGAATATTTCCGACAGGCTGTTTTCAGTCAAGTTTATGTCCAGTCTCATTTCTAATTCCGCTCTATCCCGCGCGTGAACTGGACAGCGGGCTAACAGGTGCAGTACAGTTTCGTCGCCTTCCCCACAGATGCAAGTAGGGTCATCTTTTAATTTAAATCTGTGGAGGTAAGCGGCAAACCCACCATGGCCCGTTAGGGCCTGTGTTAGCTCGCTGTCCAGCCCCACCTCTCTCATTGCCTTAAGGGCAGATAAGACGGTTGGGAGGAAGAACCTGGTCGTAGAAGCCGTTGTTCCAACTCCATATTCCTCCTCCCACCGCCGAATCGAGTCGGTTCTCAACAGTCTTTTTATTTTTGAGACTGGACATCTGTCATAGTCGGGTTTTCTCTTTTTGTCATGTGCGGCCTCCTTAGCGAGCTGGTCGGCTCTCTCATTCCCCTCGTGACCCACGTGTGCTTTAATCCAGTAGAGCCTCACCTCCTTGTGGTTGGAGAGGCTCCCAAGGGTCTCTCTAATGTGCACAACGAGGGGACTGAGGGAGCGACCGCTCACTATGTCATCCAAGGCCGACCTGGAGTCGCTGCACAGGTTTACCTTTGGGCTGGCAACTTTCGTTGCCAGTTGCACAGCCTTATGCAGCGCCACCATTTCGGCCTGGAAGACCGTACAGTAAGTCGCCAGTTTTATTTTGACAGTCTTGAGTTCTTTGTCGAGTCTCCGCATTACCACTGCGGCGCCCACCCCGTCATCCGTCTTACTGCCGTCGGTGTATATGTTTGTCGCGTCTGCCTGTTGGTCAAGTCCAAGCTCTGGGCTGTAATGGTCAAAGGCTAGACGCGGCTCGTCAGCAGGGTGTGGGAGTTCGCTCGGTCTGGCTCTGGTCTCAATGTCCGCGTCGAGATACGGAAGGGGGCTGAGACCTCTTTTCACCCTGTACAGAACCGCCGCCTCCTCAATCCTCAGGTTAATGGGAAGGATTCCCGTGAGGATTTGAACCGAGTGTAGCGATGCGGTTCTGTACGCCTTACATATCCTTTGTAAAAACACTCTCTGAATTCTTTCAAACTGGACTCTTACACACTTTTTACTTACGGCCTGCCCCCATGCTCCCGGCATACATCAGGACGGGTTCTATAACTGCAGTATAGATGGTCCTGATGATT